TCATTCGTATATCGTATTTAGGCCAATCATGTAATCTTTAATATAGAAATATGTACTCGAAGTAGGAGAAGTTGTGTAGCAGTATACATGTGTATGCTGGTATGCAACATTGAAGGTTCTTTTTTATTTCATAATTTAATTATTTGAATGATTTGCTTATTTATTCTTAAGTGAATCGTACCCAAATACGACACCACTACCTATTCTTTACCAGATTCAATCTCCAAGATGTTTTGATATAAAAAGCGTCCTCCCTTTTGCGATGACCTTCTCTCCATAACTTTAATAAAGGATTAACAGAGACTCATTTCTTCAATTCTTTTTCTTCTGTTTTTATCTAATTTTATTATCTCAAAACATCACAGTAGCAGAATTAATTTAAACTTTCATGTTCACAAATTCAACTGTATTATATTTATAGATTCAGTAACAGTTCCGAATTTTGTGTTAAGGCTGATGAAAAAAAAGTTTTTTTCTTTTTCTTTTTCCAACTTCTATTTCTATAAATAACGATTTTATTATCATAACTTTCTGTAATTAACATCACTTTGACGTGCACTTTGTGTAATAAAAAGGGCGAGCGAGTTCGAGCTATCGTATTTGCAACCGAGCTAGTGTTCGGAATGAAGATCGAAACTCCCGAGCGAGCTTCGATCGTGTTCCGGTCGAAGCTCGCTCGAATGCGTTTTTTTGCAGCTCGAGCTCGCTCGAAGTTTCTTAAGCTCGGCTCGGTTGCAAATACGATAGCTCGAACTCGCTCGCCCTTATTATTACACAAAGTGCACGTCAAAGTGATGTTAATTACAGAAAGTTATGATAATAAAATCGTTATTTATAGAAATAGAAGTTGGAAAAAGAAAAAGAAAAAAACTTTTTTTTCACCAGCCTTAAAACCAAATTCGGATAAATCACAAATTATAATACATTTAAATTAATTCTGCTACGTCATGTTACTATGATTGCTGTAAAAATTTGGCTTAGTTGGGTTAAGTGTGCAACACTGTATCATTTTCTATGCTAAATGTGTTTGTTGGTTGTACAATTAAATAAAAGTCTAAAGCATTTTAGTTGGAATTAGACCACCCGATGTCTAAAGAATTTTTAAAATTTCACTAAACTTTTCGTTATTTTTGTGTCACCATTTCCATTTTAATCACTTGTCGTGTAACAAAATAAAAAGCATTACGAAATTATTGTTCAATAAATTCGCAATTAGTGTATTTATCAATTTCGACCCATAATATTGTCCTTTCTTTTTTATTCTTCTAAACATTTTAAATGAACTCAAAGAAAGAAGCCAATAACAACAAAAACAATCAAGTAACACTCTCCTTTGTTGATGCCGACCCAAAAAAAAGAAAGACAGACGGCAGAAAACGTAGAAGAACAGAAGGAAAGAAAGAACAGGAAGAGGATAAAAAACAAATCTCTGATAAAGGAACAAATAAGAGAGGGATATGGACCAAAAAACGTGAAATGGCCGTTTTGACATCATATGTAACCCATAGGCCATTTGCAGTTCCATATAAAACCAGAGGAGTATATTGGGAACGAATTTTGAAAGAGGTCAATGAACAGGACGAAAGTGAAACTCCTTTGAAAAGAGTGGCAATGATTGCCAAATTTCATGATTTACTTGACCAGTATAAGCATTTGTTTTCAGAGAATGTGGTTAATAAGTCGTCTGGAATCAATCGTTTTAATTCGGATATTGAGCGAGCTGCTTATAATGCTTGGAATCAGGTATTTATCTTTACTGAATTACTGATCAGTGATATGACATATTAATAATTTACCTTGTAGTACCAAGAAGATATCAAGTGTTCTGCTGACGAGAAGATAAAGAAACGAGAGGATATAGAGAAAACGGAAAAAAGGGATAAACGTATGCAAGGACTGGCAAAGGAAGGCAAATGTTTTCATAAGAACAAGGGGAAAGAGAGAGACGATGGCCCTTCTACTGCAATAACAGGTTCAGCAATTAATCCTGTAGAAACAACCACTACTGTAGAACCTATTCGAATGATAGAAGACGAGCCGGAGTCTATACTCGAGAGATCAAATGGTCTCCGTCGTAAAGAGCATTCAGAAATAATGAGTGCTCTTCAAACATTGCATGAGGATAATCAAAAGCTTCAACAAATGTTTATGATGTTTTTAAATAAATAAACTTTTAATTATTCAACAATATCAAATTGGCTTCTTTCTCTCATCAATCCTTGTATGTATTCCTCGAGAGATGGTGGCTGCAAATCAAACATCGAAGATACAGTAGATCCATTAATGCAGGTGTGAAAATTCTTGAAAACTGTACTGAGCATATACTTTGTTGCTGGTCTTGTCTGCGAAACAATATTTCCATACTTCCATTTGCATGCTCTAAACAACTGAGAGACTTTGCCGAATTCCATCTCAATTGCTACTCGAACTTTTGACATGGAAAGATTCACTTCGCCTTCGAACTCATTTCTTAGTGGGTTACGATACGGTTGGATGACATGCATTGTGGACCAGTAAGCCTCGTCTCCATAAATACAATACTCGTATTCCGGAGAAATATGCCCAAAGTGCGCTTGAAGACGTTGAAGCATTTGACTTTCGTTCAACATACCTCTGTCATTTCGTCGACCAACGTAAGGACCGGATAAACTGCTGGTAATTCCGTCAGGGGTAGAGATTGCTTGGAACTTGATACAGTGTTGATGCTTCCAACCATTAAATAATGCCTTTTGGTCTGCGTTGATTTTTGGACGGCATGTTTGTTGCATGGTTCCATCGATAAAACCAACAATGTTTGGATAATATGCCCCTTTCTCTAGAATAGCTCTTGAAAACTTTTCGCAATTGGATTTGGAAAACTGTCTCTCGTCAAACTCGAGGCCATACCTGAACTTCTGAAGTAAAATATCTGACAGTCCATTGACAGTTCTTCCAATGTTATCTTCAGCCATACCAAAGATGTCAACCATATCTGATAAGCGACGTGGAAATGAGAGTCGATAAAGAAGCAGAGCCATAGCAAACTCCCTGGTTACCTTGATGCTATTAAATCTTAGTTTATTATCCAAACCGATGAGTTGGCAAATTTGACAAATCTCTTTGTAGGTAAAACGAAACATTTTATAGCACTTTTCTTCTGTCCATGACTCTAAATCAGGTCGCTGATACTTTGCTCTGGTTTTTCTACTGTTGCGCTCCTCAATACGTCGTCTATCAAACATGTACATAGCTATATCATCCATAAAAGTACGAGAGTTCATTTTTAAAGTTTACAAAGAACAGATAAATAATTTGGAGTAGCAAAAAAGGACTTAATGTCGTTATTTTTGTTATGCATTTATGAAATACTAAATGACGCAATTACCATATAATTACGTTGCACTAGTACAAACTCTGTAACACTACGCTAAATGGAATTTTCAAAAATTCTTTAGACATCGGGTGGTCTATTATTAAAGCATAAATAAAAAAAAATGGTAAAGGGAAGAAAAGATTAAAATCAAGGGGAAATGCCATCACTAATCTTTCAAGGACCTTAACTTTAGAGTGACTACTGTGATAATTGAGAATAAAAAGGGAAATGTAAATTGGAAAATAAAGCAAGTAAAGAAATGAGACTCTATAATCCTTTATTATAAGTTGGAGAGTTTGTCATGATAAAAATAGAGGTCCTTTTTATATTCAATTATTACTTCAAGATTTTTCCTGCGCAGATCGAATTGACTATTTACCCGCAAACTGGGAAATGGCAGAATTAGATTTAGAAATCAGTTACATATGAAACATAACTTATTGTTATTTACAAGGAGCTAGTTGACCCATATCCGGCACTTCTAGAGCATTATAGTTTATCCATTCAATGACAGGGTCCTTGATTGGATTACTAAAATAAATTTATGAGAAACTAGAAGATTCGGCAGCTACTCGACCAATCCAGGAACGATTATGAAATCTGATCTCAGTTTGACATATGAGGGAGCTGGTACTGTGTCGTACCAATAGGAATGTATTCGCAATATGGTACTTATAATACATAGGTTATATGTATTATAATTGAGTGACAAGATAAGAGTAATTATATTCGTGGAATTAGGCGTCAAATACGACACATACAATAAAAATCATCGGTAATCCAAATTTATATAAATTATCCAAATTTGGAACTCTGACACATTGAATACAATGGAAGAGCCGATAGAAAATATTACTAGAAATCATTGAAGCAATCTGTCGGCGACAACGTACCCTTGAATTCATGTAGAATTCAACAGTCAGGATAAATTTATGGACTAGCAATTCTAGTAACAGTCAGCTTTCAAAAGAGTATAAATAGACCCCATTATTTCAGTTAAAACTTCAGTCAAATAAGGTAACAAGGACTTATAATCGTACTTATCGTACCATTGTTTTTTTATATACTTTATATTTTTTTATCAAATCAGAAGTAATTGATTTGTAACAATAAGGTTACCATTGATTCATAGTCTTTTTTTTAAGTGAGTTTAAGAAGAAAGAAAGGAAGAAAATGTAAAAAATAAATATTGGGCTTGTGGTGTTTTGGGATAATAAAAATTCAGACAGAAAGGAAATAAAACAAAAGTAGGAATACTTTGAGACTGTTGATATGTTTTATTTAGTTAAAAGAGAATTGGGCATTATCAAGGTCAAAGAATAAAGGATATATATAAGATGTCTGAATTTAAATTATAAAATTATTGCATAATGGAAGTACACTATTTTAGTACAGTGTCTTCTTGCACTATTTTAGTTAAAGACGTGTAGAGACTAAAGAAGTGTATTTTCTTTATCAAGTATGGATGCTGAGATATTTATATTTTAGTGTAGAATGTATGATGTAAGTGTATCTGATGTTATTTTTATGATGATGATTTTATTAGAAGTAAGCCAGATCATCACAGGGCTTACGCCAGTTTTATTTGGTTTTGTGACCTAAAATCCGAATTCTATCTAGTGCATCAGATAGACAACTTATCTCTGCTTTACAACGGTACTACCGCAGAAAATGTTCCGGTTCCCAGGAGCTTGTCAACACAAGTAATGGTGTAGTCAATGGCGTTGTCGGACCTGGTTTGGTGCTATGGTATATATTGTTGCAGCCAATCTAAATTGACTTGGTGTTACACAGGATAGGATCTTTCCTATAAATACGCCCCCTTTTTTTTTTCTAATAAATACTTCTTCAGTTTTATCTTGACTAAAAATCTAGTTTCTTAATAATTTGTAATTGACTCCTTTGTGTTTCCCTCAACTTTCATACTTCTTGTTTATCTTAAAGTCTTTACTTTACATATAACAATTAACTCAAAGTTCATATTTTCACACTCGACTCGAATCTCTTTATTACTAAAACCGTATATAAGATATTGTTTATAATAACATAATTACTTTTCTTTTTAATCTTGGCAATTCGTTTATATTTATATTACTTACGCCCTCTTAAAATCATCGTTGATTATCTTCTTATCCTAAAAAACTTTATATTATAAGATTTCTTAAGTTGACTACTTCCAGTCTGGTGCTCACTTTCATAACTACTTTACTATTAACCTCAGTGTTAATAACCTATCTCCACCTTATCCTTTAAGAACTATTACCAGTGTCTTAACAATATCTCCACTTTTTTCAAAGATCATATCAACGAGTCCAGAAGAGGCAATGAATGTGTTTTGTTTGCTGCATCCCACCTAAAGTAAGATTGGTTGTTTATCGTCATTATTTAGTTATACAGACAATTTTTTTAAGCCTTTATAGCCACTACAACAATTTAACGAGTCAACTTTGTGTCGGTTCCGTCACCTTCTTTTTTGAGACCACATTTGATAGCGTGAATGATTTTCTTGTCTTAATTGACGTGGCTGAATCACATGGAAAAATAGATTAAGACAGATGCATGCCAAAGGGGGTCTTACGTCGCCCTGGTCAACATAAGTATGTTGTTTGTCGTTTCAAAGATATCGTTTATAACGTAGGTCTTGTCCGATACACCGTGTCTGAAAATTATTACAAAGTCATATCGCATCACATTTTCAAGGAATTTCTTTACTCGAAGATGGTGAATGGCAGCAACAATACTTTTTTATATAAAAAAAAATGGTCAACAACTTTGTTGACAAAATCAACAACAGTTGTTTACAACAAACAATCCGCCATAGTGCAGGGTATCAACCCGTGAACTGAATACGTAAACTGTATTAATTAGCCAATAGTATTATTTGCCAAAACCATCGTTTGTACTCGTCAGTGTCGGTCCAATATTTCGAATGTTTTCTTATAAAATCGGTCCAATTTCTTTACCGGTATTGTCGGTCTAACTTTTTCAAAAATTGGACCGATAAAAAGTTTCAGGGTGCATTTCTGGGGAACTGGTCCGGTATTGCTATGTTTATGAATGGTTATACTAGGGAAAGCATAAAAGCAGTAATTACAGGGCTTCGAAAAACTGAAAAGAACAAGTTTAGGGCTGTTGATAAATATAAATCAACTATTACCTGCACTTTATGGTATGAAACTACCACTAAGCAAGTGGTTAGAAGAGGGGACTCCATAAGGAAAATAAAAGGCACGGTAGTTCGTGTCAGCAAAAATTGTTCGAGACGTGTATATAACAGGTCCGTCACGTCCAATCGAGACTAAAACGATTCATTGAACATTGCTCTAATAGGATTTTCAGCATAAGTTTCAGACGATGTCCTAACTTCTCCGCCTTTTTATCGTGGTATGCAAATAAGTAAGTTACTAAAACTATTAGATTAGATATATTTTTTACTAATATAATCCGTTCAAGGTCTAACTTATCTGATAATTTTATGCAAGCCAGATTAGCTAAACAAGGAACTGTTGGCGTCTGTAACTAATTTTGCTCTTTGACTGATCACCAGATATGTCATAAAAGTCAGAAAATGTGCCGATAAAAATACTGCTACAAAAGGAGGATATATGTAAAAGAGTGACCCTTTAGTGGAAATGAGATAGTAGAGTAAATGCGCTCCATACTTCAAATAACATCAAAAATTTAGACATAAACTACTTGATAGCACCACAAAAAAAAAAATTTCAAGTAGACGTTCCTTAAGACCTTGTCGAGAGGAAATATGAATAAGCTTTATATAATTGGGAGATAAAAAGACCAAATTGTGGAATTTATTTTTATTATTACACCAACTTTTGTACACAACCAGCTACAAACGGGTTGTAACTTTTTCTTCAAAAAAAAAAAAAAAAAAAAAAAAAATTTGTGATACATAAATTAACAATTTTACTCTTGTTCATTTCAATAACAAAACGGGTGTACACTACACAATCTTACTATTATGTACAATATGACAGGCCAAACCAATATTCTTGTCATAATCTTACTGCATCGATTTAAGAATCAATGCGCACTTTAAGCTGTAAATAATTGCTTCCTATGTCAATTTTTTTTTTTTTTTTTTTTTTTTTTTTTGATGCTTTTATTGTTATTTGCATCAAATATATCGACTAAGGCTGCCTTCGAACTTGAGTTTTATTTGTGTGAAAAGTCGCCCATGGTTACCATCTAACAAATAAACAATTACGTGAGTTACATAAACTTAAAGCAGTCTATACTGCGTATACTTGTTAAAAGGAGATATACATCACAATGATAGCTGAAAAAATCGGGATCTACTCGACGTCACGAGCTTACTACGCGTCAAATTAAAAAAAAAATGCAGCCATATTATAAAAAACACCTTCTTTTTTCTTCCTTCGTTCCTCATTATGTCGAATCCTGTTGACTTAAAAACCCAAAAATACGATCGTCAATTAAGGTATGCTTGTAAGCAGTTGCTCAAACTTAAATACTTAAATCACTATAAAGACTTTGGGCAACAACCGGACAGCAAGCTTTGGAAGAGGCCAATATTTGTTTACTCAATGCTACTCCAACTGGGTGTGAGATTCTCAAGAATCTCGTTTTACCAGGTACGTTTTTTTTAAATATGCGCGGTTGAGTTTCCAATGATTCTTATCTCAATTACTGCATGAAGGCGTTGGCCATGTAACCATCGTAGATGAGCAAAAAGTTACGAAGCAAGACATACACAACAACTTCTTTTTAGATCCCGACAGCACAGGTCAATCCAAAGCAAAATTAGCGGCAGAATTGCTCCAGGAGCTGAACGAAGATGCTTCTGTTGTGCACATAGAGAGGGTAAGTCAAATTACGGGGAAAAAAAAAGTTGGTATAATTCACTAATATGGTGATATTCGTAGAATCCATCCGATCTTATTCATAACAGTCCTGAGTTCTTTGATCCATTTTCCATGATTGTCACTGTAAATATGGTTCACGATGATATGTTAAAGCTTTCGACTATCTGTAATGAATCCAGTAAAATTTTGATTGCTGTTAAGAATAAGGGTTTGGTCGGAGTCTTTAGCATACAATCACCAGAGCATACAGGTAAGAGGGAAAAAGAAGAGAAGACAACGAATATGATTTTGGTTAACAATTGTGTTAATATTCTGTAGTGATCGAAACGCACCCTGATAATGCAACTGACCTTCGCCTAGCAACCCCATTTCAGCACTTGGTTGATTATGTAGATACTTTCAACTTGGATGAGTTAGATCAAACAGATCATGGCCAAGTACCATTTGTTGTTGTGCTTTTAAAATATGTCGACGCATGGAAAAAGGAAGATAATTCAATCCAAATTCCCTTGTCATACCAGCAGAAAAAGGAGTTGGAAAAAAGGATTGCAGCAGGAAAGAGAACGCCGGATGAAGAGAACTTTGATGAGGCCATTTCCAATGCTTGGAGACTTTGTTCAAATGATCATGTAAGGCAACATTTCTAACTAATGTTCCTCATACTGACCCAATCACTTAGATCTCAGATGAAGTCCGTCATATTTTTGAAGAGCCATCATGTCAGAGTGCCCATAGTGACGTAAGTATTAAAAAGAAGATGGTTTTGTATTGTATTAAAGTAACTCTTTTTTTTTTTGAAAAATAAAGTCACCTCATTTTTGGATTTTAGCCCGAGCAGTACGCGATTTTGTAGAGAATGAAGGCGGTGGACATCTTCCTCTTTCTGGAAAGTTACCTGACATGAAATCTGATACATTAAATTACATTGGTTTACAAAATGTTTATCGTGAAAAAGCTTTATGTGATTTGGAAGCTGTAAAAAAAAGAGTGAGAGGATTTTTGGAAGGTTCTGAGGTTAGTATTCCTGATGAGACCATCGAAATATTTTGCAAAAATGCCTCCAACGTGAGAGTAATCCAATACCGTCCCCTTACCGAGAATCATGTGTTAGCGGAAAAACTAGGTAAAATTTAACATGTAGGATGATGTTTTTTGTAGTTTCTGACCTCATTTTTTGATTAGTTAACTGGGTAAAAACTGATGAGAATATCTGTTATCTCTTGGCCTATTATGGAGCTGACAAGTTCCGTTCAAAGTATGGTCATTTACCTGGTAAGTCTATTATGTATTTAATATAACATTGTCTGATTGTTTTGAGGATAAAGTCTCCCAGGTGGATTTCAATCCATTCAAGGAGGAGGTACAAGCGTATATTGAAAGTTTGGGCGTGTCCTCTGCAGATACTCAAGAGGTCATGTCAAGTGAAGCAACGGATAAGGCTATTCTAAATTTGTAAGTGTCAAAATTTAACACATGCATATCCCGCTAACCTAAAGTTGGCAGTATAAGATTTGGCGATATGGAAACCCCGAATTTGGCTGCTCTTATTGGTGGCTTAGCGGCACAAGAAGCGATTAAATTGATAACTCATCAATATATCCCAATTAATAACACGTGTGTATTTAACGGCATTACTTCAACCAGTAGTGTATTTGAAATATAGTTTAAAATAAATAAATAATACAGGGATAAACATGTAAATTTTAATCGAGGGGAGAAACAATGGTGATTATATAATCACAAGAGATAAATCGGAGGAGAGAGAGAGAGGGAAAGATAGATGACTGTTTTCTAAAAATAATGTAAAAAAAAAAAAAAAGAGAAAAAAAAAGAGAGAGATAGAGATGCTTATAATAATTAAAAAAAAAAATAGGATGAATACAAAAAAGAACATATTTAGGTATTATGTTCCATAATTTCTTGAGGTTTGATTTACTTGGCTCGTTGTTCCTTTTCCATACGAGCAGCAACACAAGCAGTAAGGGCAGCGCCAACACCACTACCATCTCTAGCAAGACCAAGACGAATGGTATTACGGATGTCATTGATTTCGGGTAACATTTCATGAAGAGCTTCATACATTCTAGACTCGAAAGAAGGATAGAATTCATACAGAGAACCATCGATACCAATATCACAACCTCCTTCCTCAATACCGGTATGTTGAACAATAGCAGCAATTGAAGCAGCGGCAAGACGAGCAGCACGCTTACCGACAAGTTCACAGATCTTCTTGATAAATTTAGCCTCGATTGTTGTAATGTCATGTAAGTTGAGATTTGTGTCCAAGATTTCTTTGGTGTTTTCAAAGTCCTTTGAATCATCAGCCTCAATATTGGACATAAAAGCGGTTTCAAAAGACCAATGTCTGGAAATTTCCTTAGACCAAGCAATAGAAGTATGTTCATCACGCTTAAGAAGAAGTTCACGATCAATCATATCGGTTAAGACGTTACGAGAAATTTCACCAAGGTACATACCCGAAATCATTTTTTCATAAATTTGAGCATGAGGATTAATAGATTCACGATCTAACTTGTTATCAAAACGAGTAAGAGGAAGAATTTTACGCTCATTATCAAAAGCCCCAAATTCCATATTAATAATCATCTCGTCAGCAGTGGTCTTACCACCATTCCACTTTCCAATTTTATCCATTTTCTCAATATATGCACCATTTGCACCAGTACCTAAAATAAGACCGGCTAAAGTGGCTGGCTTATTATACGCGTTGGACAAAAGTGTACCGACGGTATCATTGACGAGGGCAGATACTTTCACGGGAACATGTTTTCTCAAAAGGGCATCTTGTAACAACAGGACGGGATCTTTACCGACGGCTCCCGTACATGCAAAACCTTTAGTCCAGGTAGAAAGAATACCGCGATTGATCTAAAAAGATAAGCAAATGTTGTCATTAATTTTAAACGTTATCTTTTTTTTTAAAAAAACCTTAGCTTACCTTGGATTGGAGAACGGGGAAAGAAAAAGTATAGCCCAAGTTGAGTTCAGTTTCTTGATCCTCAAGGCCCTGCTCAGTTAAGAAAGTATCTACACATTCGGCAATATAATCTGTTTACGTAAAAAACAATAAAAAAAAAAAAAGCCATGTTAATCGGAACTCTAATAAGTTTCATCTGGTAATATAAAATTGTTGGGGGGGAAAAAGGAAAAAATAACAAAATAAAACGTACCACACAAGTTACGCATAGGACCAGTCTTTAATTCTTCGGAAACCCGAGACTTTGAAGAAACAGTCTTAAATTTTCCTTGGCCTTCAAGAGTGACAAGAACAACACGCAAATTGGTTCCTCCTAAATCGAGAGCAAGAAAGTGACCTTCTTCCTTACCTGAAAATTACAAGAGAATCTGTCTTGGTAAACCTTCAATATGAGATTAAATGCCTTGGACCTTACCTGTTAAACGACCTTCAACATAAGATGGAATCATCGCCAGTGTTGCGCCTTCCTTTTCCAGACCTTTGTTCATTTCGATAATAAATCGATCGCGAATTTGCTCGAGGTATGTGGTGTCAACTGTAAACTGTTCGATGATATCACGCATGTAGGCTTCTTGTTCGGGAGTTCCACCGAATTCATTCACTTCGAAGGCTTTAGGTGCTTTGATGCCAGACATGATGATGTAATAGGGTTTTTTTGTTTTTGTTTTGTAATATAAAAAAGGGAAAAAAAGAAGAATGTTTAAAAAAAAATATCTAGTTCCTTTTATGCAGCGGACTTTTTTTTCCCAGAAACCCAAAGAAAAGTGGAAAATATTTCAGTTAAACTACCGCAGTGATTTGCATGATAGGGTAACATGCCATAGTGGATGAAGTATACTGACAAAGACGTGTTTTTTATAAATTTTTTTTTAAAAAAAAACCCAAGGGTTGGGATCTTTGTTAAATCTTCTCTCATAGATTAACATCTTGACGGATATATTTATTTACTTACCAAACGATGGATATTAAAAACGGTCATTTAAAATTTAGTATCTTTCTGATCGTACAATGATTACAATTTATAAAATGTTTTTTATTTTAATGCGTGTATGAAATTTCAATTCATACAACATATTTTGACACAAAAATATTGTCTAAGTGTATATAGTATATTTAATGTTACTTCAACGGTACATGTTTATATCTTTTAAACGCCAGTCTAATCATTTATTATAATGACATCGTGATTACGGAGTTCGTACCACCTAAAAAGCTTGAGAAGATCAGATTTGGGCTTTAAAAAAGAGGTCACTTAATTCCAGTCACGCGCAGTCTTTAACCAGTGGCTCTCTCAGGCCTAATGTGATGGCCTAATGACTATCAATGTTTACATATTGTAACCTACTGGTCAGTTTTTTACGCAGATGAGATGCGACAATTTCTCATTTATTTTACATAACAATGATTGCAGTACCCAGTTCAAGATACAGCATCAAGGGGGACTCTTATATCGTTACTCTTTGGGAAGTTGCACCACGTAATTGTGTGTGATTAAATAGCAGTAATGACACTGGTTTCGATGGCGTAAACATTTAACCTCAGACATACCTTCATACAGGAATTTTAGGTTTTTTTTAAGCTTTGCGCGTCTTCTTTTCAAGTATCATTTCTCTAGCTAAAGCTTGCCCGGTTTGTATACTTGACACAAAAAAAAAAAGAAAAAAAAAAGCGAAACGATCATATATCTTTGTAAAAAATATGTTGGTATACAAATACGAACGGAATGTTTGTGAAAAGACAGCGCAAAAGAAAGTTATGTGAAGTCAGATCCCCTACATGGCATAAAGCAATATTACCTAATCGTAATATTTTAAGGAGCTTCAGGTGGATGCTTTATAATTACGCTTTTCTTAGCCTGCGCGAATAATTTATGAAAATAGTGTATAACCCTTCGTCAATGATTGGAATTAGAGCTATTTCAACAGCTATAAGTTGTTAGGTACCAGAGATGTGTAAAGGGCAATAATTCGAATGACTGACATAAGTATATGAAGAATAGCAAGTTGATCTCAGTAAAGCATAAAGACTAATAGTTACTGCGCAATGGATAACAGAATAAAACTACAGTTACTATATATATTCCTGCGTATTTAAATAACAAGTTTCATTAAAAAATTTATTCTTTGCTAATTGTTGTACACCAAGTATTAGCATGCTGTAGAATAAACTCTTGTTGTAGGGTGGATTAAATGGTTATGTCACAGATAGTGGTATTCACCTATTAACGTATTTCATCTAGTGGTTTTTGCCACATACAGAGCAAGCAAATTAAAGTATCGAGATACGATAATCATCTGCTTATTAGAACATGTACTGTAGGTATTACACCTCTATGAGGTATTACATCGTATCACGGTTTTTAAAAAAACGGTCGTCAGTCGCGTCTTTTAAACCAGACGCGGCCTGAAAAAAAAAAAAAAATTATTCTAATTCTTTTTTACCTAAACCTTGCACAATGTCAAAGCGTCAAAGAGAAGAAGCCAATATTGAGTCAATTAGGGCCATCCTTGGAGACATTCCTGTCAAGACGATTGAAGATTTATTGCACAGGTCTAACCAAAATGTCGAGACTGCGGTCAATTTGTATTTCTCGGACCCTTTACCAATTATACCAACACAAACTTCAAAAAACACAAGCAAGCCTAAATTAGAAAAACCAAAAGGAGAAATCAAATATTACATTGGCGATCTCGTTATTACAGGTAATTAGCGATTGTATTGAATAGACGAACCTATTTCTCAACACACACACTTAGGATGGTCCTTATTAAAGGGACCTAGTCCAGTCAAAGAAGGCAGTGTCATTAGCATTATGCGAGATAAAGTGAATAATTACTCCAACAAAATTGTTCGATTTGGATCTGGAGGAAAGGAATTAGGTCGATTACCAAAAGAGGTTGCAGACTACATTGCAGCCCTCATCGATTTTAACCTCTGTAAATTTGAAGGAACACTGGTATGGTGTCCACCTCAGTTGAAAATCGGTGAAGATATGATTATTCTTCTCAAATGCTACATGTTGCCTGCCGCCATGCACACCAATACTTTCATGTCAAGCGTCATTCCAAAAGCGAAGAGGGGCTTCAACAACAGGTCTGTGGAGGAACCATCGACTCTGAGAAAAATAGCGCTTCTCCAAATCTTCAAAAGCTTGGGTTTAAGGCCTGCTCGTTCTTCTATCCAAAGAATGAATGTGGGCAGCGATGACACTTGGGACTTGCTTTTACAAAATGTCGAGACAAAAGCGGAAGAGCCCGAAGAAGACGAAACAAATGAGTTTGACGAAGAAGAGAAAAAGGAAGTGTCAGACGATACGCTTGATCATATATACGAAAAGGCTCAAGTGTTTGATTCACATATTCAACCAATGGAACAACCTGATACAATGGCACTGGAATTGAAGGAATATCAAAAGAGAGTAAGATGCGTATATCAAGTGAAGTAGTAGTCACTAAATGGAAGATAATATATAGGCATTGGCATGGATGACAGCTAAAGAATCGACAGACGCATACGATGACGGGGATATCGATATGCGCGCAATACATCCTTTATGGGAAGAGTATGAGTTCCCAGCTGAATGTGAAGGCGATAACCGTTTCTTTTATTTTAATCCCTACAGTGGTAAAGAAAGGCAAACATGATGAATATGTAACAAAAATAATAATGTATACCGTAGGCGAATTAAGCCTGGAATTTCCAGAAGCATCCTCACAGGAAAAGGGTGGTATTCTAGCTGACGGTAACATGAAACTCCCACCTTTTTGCACTATCCGATTGATTGATGTAAACTGATTAATTTTTTTTTATAGAAATGGGACTCGGTAAAACCATCGAGATACTTAGTTTAATTCATACAAATCGATTTAATCGAGCCACTGACAAACCACCCACACCATTATTTACAAACGAACCTGTTGGAAAAAGTGCGAAAAAGATCATTAAAAAATCGCCTACCACACTTATCGTATGCCCAATGTCTCTACTGGCCCAATGGCGTGATGAGATTATTAGAGGATCTAAGCCCGGCACTATCACAGTTGAGGTTTTCTATGGAGATGAAAGGAGTCATAGCACGATCGAAAAAATGTGCCAATGGAATGGATCTGCGCCCGATGTGTTACTTACAACTTATGGTGTCGTGATGGGCGATTGGAGTAAAGTGCAGACCAATAGCTCGCACGCTTCACCATTGTTCGGCGTTGAGTTCTGGCGTGTTGTTCTTGATGAGGCTCACCAAATCAAGAATAAAACAACGAAAACATCCCTTGCTTGTAGAGACATTAAGTCGAAGCGTCGTTGGGCCGTTACAGGCACACCTATCCAGAATAAGCTTGACGATTTGTATTCACTTGTACGATTCTTAAGACATGAACCCTGGGCCAACCATACCTTCTGGAGAACTTTTATTTCAATACCCTTCGAAAAACAGGACCCTCGTGCTTTGACAGCTGTTCAAAGTGTATTGGAGCCAATTGTTTTACGTCGAACAAAAGCTATGCGCGATAGAAAAGGACGACCTATGGTGCCATTACCACCAAAGACGATCCATATTGAATACTTGACATTTTCACCAGAGGAACAGGATATCTACGATGCTATCTACAATGACTCACAAATCAAGTTTTCATATTTCTGTCAGGCTGGAAAAGTGGGTGTGAATTATGCCTCCATCTTTCAACTCTTGACTCGGTTGAGACAAATCTGCTGTCATCCTTATCTTGCACTGAAAAGTAAAGGAGATGACGAAGAAGTCAAATCAGAAGGCGGAAAGGGTATTCGTTTGGAGGATCTCATTGCAAAACATAATACAAGTAAAGCTTTGACCAACCAGGATATCCCATCCGAACATGGTACTTATGGATTGAATGTGTTGCAAAACATGCTGGCTTTACAAAAGGGGTCCTCACAGTCTGATATGGAGACTCAACACAGTTCACCCATGGACGCCTTATCAACAATGACGGAAGAATGCCCAATTTGTTTCGAAACACCCGAGACAATGATTGCATTGCCTTGTATGCATATGGCCTGTCGGATATGCGTGATGGATTATTTCCAGGTAAAGTAACCTTTATGTGTTTGTGGGAGTCATTGAATTTATGCACTGACCTATTATTTATAGAAAAAAGAAAACGAAGGAGCCGCTGGAGAATGTCCTATCTGCAGACAAGGTCCTATACTCCAAAGCGATTTATTAGAGATCGGACAGAAATCAAATGGGACAGAGACACCAGACTCCCAAAAGGGTAAAAATGTCAAATTTGATATTCGAAAAGCAGTAGGAGGGTTTAGACTCTCTACGAAAATGAACGCGTTAATCAGCCATCTGCGGCAGAATGAAAGGGATAATTGTAAGACTGTTGTGTTTTCACAATTCACTAGTTTCCTGGATTTGATTGGTGAAGCACTCGATTATGAGTGTATTCACTTTACACGATTAGACGGCACGCAATCTCAGGCTCAACGCGAAAAGGTCCTCTCATCATTCTCCAAAGCAGAAGAAGGCTCGGCTTCAGTCTTGTTAATCAGTTTAAGAGCTGGTGGCGTCGGTCTCAATTTGACCTGTGCTAACCGAGTGGTCATGATGGTACAAAATTCATGAGATCATTGGATGGATTTTTGTAACTAAAACGATCTCTTTCCTTTTTTTTTATAGGATCCATGGTGGAACTTTTCGATTGAGGCACAGGCTATTGATCGTGTTCACCGTCTTGGTCAGTTGAAAGATGTCACAGTGACACGATTTGTGATGCGAGATACTGTAGAAGAACGTATCTTAACGATCCAGAACCGTAAGCACGTGCTTGTCAATGAATTATATCAATCTCGAGATCATGCAAAGAACCGAAAGATGGATGACCTTCAATTACTGTTTAGTAAAAGTGGTGCACTTTAGACGATTTTTTTTTTTTTTAAAATGCAGTTGTAAATTGTTAATTTTTATTATGTATATATTATTCATATAAATACATGTCGTATTTATCATTAAAAACAAAAAGTTTTTTTTTTTTTTTATAAAAAGTTCAAACCAAGGCCTAACTGTAAGCCTCTCTTAATTTGGTCACCCTTTGCAGCAGTTAATGGTACACAGTAGTTCAATTCTATACGAGCTATACTATGACGATAAATCAAGCCGAGACCAGCCGAGATACTTGGTGATTTCATAAGTGCTTGTGCGGTAGATTGAAGGGTTGATCCCGAGGGTACATTTGTACCTGCGTTGATGAAGGCATGTGCTCTAAGTGGTTTACTTTCTAATTTAGGTAAAGGAGCAATAGCACTGATACCAGCTGCCCAATACATATTACCACCAAGAGCGTCACGATAGTCTCTAGGACCGACGCCCGCATTTCTAAAACCACGGATAGACAATGGGCCACCCAACAAGAAACGATCGGATACGGTAGATGCTTTCTTAGGGTCGTCATCGTCACTTAAATTAGCCAGCCAGCCAGCTCTGAAAGTAGTACTCATGACAAATCCTGGATGAAGGCCCAAAAACTCGTCAGTTTCTTTATCTTTCAAAATCTGTCCTCCTCCAAACTGGTGACAGAATTGGGATTCAAGCTCTGTTTTAAAGAAATGAGAATCGCCTAATCCCAAGACACCAGATAACTCCTGAGAGAGACGAAGGTAATGACCATTGGAAGGTAATAATATATCGTCACGACGTTCACGAACAAATACATGGTTGATGGATGACTTGAGAGAATGTCCAACTTCCTTACGAATACTAAATAGACATACATTTTAAGTTTTTTTTTTTCTTTCTTTCTTTTCGCATTCATCATGTATTCTTTACCTGAGTGAAGCACTGGGCGACACACGGTCAATTGAACGCCATGTCATATCGTAACTGAGTTCATGATAGCCAAATCGAGAAAGTGTCTTATAACGTAATCCTGCACCTCTAGCTAACTCTTCATAAGAGGATGTCAATGTATTATTACAGAGGACACGATGTGCATTAAAGTCAATATTCGAATCAGGCGATGCGTTCACAGGTTTTCCAAGCGTAAACTACCCTTGCTGCATTAATAACTTCCCTCCTTTCTTTAATAATCCAACAATCCTTCCTTTTTTTTTTCTTTTTTTTTTTATTTTTACCTGGAATGAAGAGCTATTTCTAGTACCAAAGGAAGCTACAGTTTCTAATAATTCAGCTCCACCAAAAACGTTACGTAAAGTAATTGATCCATTCTTTTTTTCGTTTGTAAATAGAGGTTAGATAAGTGCATTTTTATGAAAAAAAGATCGTCAGTCCTTTTTTACCATATTTCCTTCGTTGTTTCCAATCTCAGTGCCTGTCTTGATAAAGACACGGCTCTTTTCTTTGACTTGATAGACGACATTGATGGATCCTGGTGCAGCAAGAGGATCACTGTCTGTTGCGTTATCCAATAAGATATGAACATGATCAAAGATATCGAGACGCATTAAAGTTTCGGCCACGTCTTGAGACTTATTAATGACATCTGCGACATTTTTGGCTTCTAAAATTTTATTGGTGGCGGTTTGGAGAAAGGAAGGTCGTGTGCTTTTGGTGCCGAGGATAGTGACTGCATTGATATGAGCTTTAGAGCCTGCTGATTCCTCCAACTACAACAAAAAAAAACAATGTTAACATAAAAACTTCGTCATGGAGCTTTTATTAAAAAAAAAAAAAAAAAAAAAAAAAAAAAAAAAAAAAGCATACCAAAGCAAATAAGCGTCTTGAGGCTTCTGCTTGTTGTTGTCTAAAGCGTTGCTCCTCTTCAGTAGGTAACTATCAGAAAGAAAATATATAAATAAAACAATGAATTAGATGCAGCTTGTTTAAAAATTACTTGTGTGTCCTCCATTATAATTGTTTTTTCAACAAAAAAAAAAAAAAATCAACCGTGGAAGGGGGAAAATAACAGCTGGGGAATCTTATGTTTTGGATAGGCCAAATTTCCTGTTTGGGTTCAGCCAGTAAATTCAACAGTCACTGGCACCCTATATTTTTTTTTCTACAGTGTGATGGTATTTTGAATAATTCATGTAACCAGAACATGTAAACATTTATGAGTACTCTATTGTCTACATATATATAAAAAAAAATTGATGCGACATAAATAGCTGTCATACAAACTATTCACAAGGGGAATCATTTACGAAAGCATAATGTAGAATTTACAAAGTTTCCCAAAATTGGTAATAAGTGACGTCGATCGAAGAATTTTTCAAAAAAAAAAAAAAAAAAAAAAAAAGCTGTCAAAGAGCCAGATTTCTTTATATCGCAAAAAAAAAAAGAGAGATCTAAAATAAGCCTTCTTTTTTATTAATCAATCATGGTCACAACGAGTCAACAACAAGGACCTAAAGGAAGTGGAGGTTCAGCATTGAAGAGACTTAAAAAGACACTCCAGGCAGCTGGTGTTGTTGGACAAACCTCCAAAGCGAGTCGATCCAAAAAAGATCGTAAAAGAGGTGCACCTACCGAAGTGGGTCGTAATGATTCTGACAAGAAGCTTTCACTTATTCGTGGTGAATTCAACCCTTTTGAACATAAAATTCAAAAGACAAAGTTCGAAATTCTCGGTCGTAAGATGAAGGGTACCTCTGGTAAACCTAATTTAAGTAAGCAAGTGGGTGAAGAAAACGTAAGTGTTTATTTTGTCATGGATCTGTTGTCGCGCGCAAGAGAGAATCATGTTTGTCTCAAACCTCCCCCCACTTTTTTTTTTTTTTTTCATATATAGCGTAAGAAGACATTGCTCGTAGAAATGAGAAGTAAGAATCGTCGTGGTGGAATTATCGATAAACGTTTCGGTGAGAACAATCCTTCCTTGACACCTGAAGAAAGAATGTTGGAGAGATTCACCCGCGAAAAGCAAAAGTCCTCTCGATCCACCTCCATGTTCAATTTGGACGACGATGAAGAGGATTTATCACTTACTCATTATGGTCAATCCCTTTCTAATATGGACGATTTCGATGATGCTGGTCTTGGACTCAGTGACGATGAAGAGGACAAGAAGCAAATGGACGGTAAAATCGTATCTAGATTGCATTTCGGTGGTTTCGAAGATGAGGGAGGTGAGGATGGTGATAGACATAAATCTAAGCATGAAGTCATGAAGGAGATTATCGCCAAGAGTAAAATGCACAAGGTAAAAAAATAGGTCTCCCAGGAAGGCAGTCTCTCTTTTTTTTTTTTTTTTTTGTATATTAACCTTTGAGTGTAGCTTGAACGTCAAAATGCCAAGCAAGAGGATGATGAATTACGTGAGAACTTGGATGAAGAACTTGACGATATCCGAAGCCTTTTAGAAACAAAGCCTCGTAGACCTTTGCCCTCTCAAAACGCTGTTTTCAAGAGAAACGAAGACGAGAACCCTAGAAACGAAGTATTGGAAGATTACTCCGAGTATGATAAAGCCATCCGTGACCTTGCTACTGACCAACGTGCTCAAGCCACAGACCGTACCAAGACAGAAGAAGAAATTGCCATTGAAGAGAAGGAAAACCTCGAAAAGGCTGAGCGTGCCAGAAAGAGACGTATGGAAGGCCTTGATTCTGAAGATGAAGAAGATAGTTCCAGCAAGAAGAAGTCGCACAAGAAGAGAAAGGGTGCACCTCAAGCTGATGATCTTGATGACGATTTCCTTGCTGAATTAGAAGACGATGTCGCTCAACTTGGTAAAGGTTTGACTCTTGAAGATATCAGAAACAGTCTTGTTGATGACGATGAGGAGGACGATGAAGATGAGGAAGGTGAAGATGAAGATGAAGAGGATGAAGAGGAGGATGAGGAAGATGACGAAGAGGGTGAAACAGACAACTCGGATATTGAAGACATTGAAGAGGACGATGAAGAAGCACCTGTGTTTGGTGAAGATAATGGCGATGATGATATGAATGAGATTGGTAAAGCCGGTGTAGTTCAAAAGAAGAAGGTTGAAGCACCTGTCAAGGTTGAGAAGCGTGAAATTCCCTTCACTTTCGAATGCCCTACTACTCACGAAGAGTTCCTCACTATTCTTGAAGGTCTCGATGCCGAAGATTCCGTTGTGGTTACCAAGCGTATCCGTGTTTTGTACCACATCAAACTTGCCCATGGTAACAAGGAAAAGTTGACCAAGTTTTTGGGTGTTTTGGTCGACCATTTGGCCTATGTTGCATCTACAGTGTACCCTTTGCCTACCTCTGTTCTTCAAGATCTCGGTACCCATGTATTTGAGCTTTCTCAACAATTACCTGAAGCTGCTGCCGAAATCTTTACTGCCAAGTTGAAGAAGATGCACGGTGATATGGCTAAAAAGATGAAGCATACCAGCTCTTCATGGCCCGATGTTGAAGATTTAACTCTTCTCCGTTCTATTGGACAAATCTTTTCTACTTCTGATTTGACTCATCCTGTCGCCACTCCCGCCTTATTGTTCATGTGTCAAGCTTTAGGACAATGCCGCATTTCTTCTGAGATCGACCTCGGCCGCGGTCTGTTTTTGACATTATTGACATATGAGGTAATGTTTATACGGAATTCACACACATTTTACGAGAGGGAACTAAATTTTTTTTTTTTCTTTTTCTGTAATTTTTTTTTTTTTTAGTACCAAACTGTATCCAAGCGCTTTATTCCCGAGAGTCTCAACTTTTTAAACAGAGCTTTGGTGGCACTTGCACCCCAGGAAACCTTCGGAGATCATATTCCCGGTTATTTCCCCATGCCTGAAGGTACATCCGAACTCTCGATTAAGGATACGGAAGCCAAGGAAGCCGCAGTGATTGCTCCTCTTAAATTTGAACAAGTCAATGTTGAAACAGAAGAAGGAAACGATGGACTTCGTCTCTCACTTGTTCAAGGTACACTTCGTATGTTTGAACGTTATTTAAAGCTTTATGCATCTACACCAGCCTTTTTAGAAGTGTTTGAAGACAGTTTAAAGATTGTTTCTAAATTGAGCACACTAAGCTGGCATCAAGAACTGGAGACATTGATCAGTACAGTGCAAGGTCGTCTTGAAAGACAAATCAAATTCTGTAAAGAGAAACGTTCAAAGACACCACTTAGAATGCAAACACATCGTCCCATACCCATTGCTCAACACTTGCCCAAGTTTGAGAAGGCATACTCTATGGATCGTCATTATGATCCCGATCATGAACGTGCTCAATCTCATAAACTCGAGTCCCAACTCAAGAAAGAAAAGAAGGGTGCATTGCGTGAGCTCCGTAAGGATAACCAATTCATTGCTAGAGAAAAGGCTAAGGAGCGTAAGCAAAAGGATGAAGAATATAACAAGATGGTTAAGGGTGTTATGACAATTTTGGAAGGCGAACAATCTGAAATGAAACGTCTGGAACGCGAGAAAGATAAGAAGCATTAAAAAAAAATATAATACAATAGAATAAAAACAACGCACGGCATATTTTTTTTTTTATTATTAGCTTTTTTTGGCATTTTTTTTTTTTTTTAATGAATATTTAGGAAAGATATAAAAAAGGATTAGTAGTAGAAGTTTTTAGAAAACGGGGTCTTGTGACAATATTTAGTTCTCAGGTGTGTAACCTACTATTGGGTAGAACCACTAAAGTGCCATCCCAATATTCAAAACCCCCATGCCAATATTCATCAGGAGTGGTTAGCACCAAAGGGAATAAGGCAGATGGTACCGCACTGTCGTTTATTGGCAGATTCGCCGCGTACTTTCGGTAAGGTATTACGGATTTAGCAGTCTAAGCGGGTTAGGATGGAATTCGTTCTAGTTCTTTTTAGTTTCTATAAAAGGCAATTTTTACCATTCCATATGATCTGGACACCTTTCGTTTTTTGCTCAGGGTAATTTTTGATATTCCGAAACTACCTTGGTGATTGGGTATATTCCACTGGGGCGGTAATAAAGAAATGCTGTGTTTGAGACGATTCCAAATATCTGGTAATTTCATGTACATGGAACTTTTATCATGATATGTAGTTACTGGGAATTCCTTCATGTTATTAATTTTTTCTTTTTTATGTTGCGCCTGATTCCTTCTTTATTTGTGATTTTTTGTGTAATTATTATCCAATGTTTTTCTTCGGCGTTGTACGAAAACCGACAAAAATGCAAAAGGATCGAGAAAAAAAAAACAAGTTTCTATTTATACTAAAAACAGTTGTGTGGTATTTTAATAGAATAGAAAAAAAAAAGATGCAGTTTCTTTTCTAATTAAAACAAATAGCTTATCAATGCGGAAAATTAATAAGAAAATAAGCTTTTTTTTCTAAACACAAACAATTCTATCGGTTCTGACATGTCTTTTTTGCCCTTTTGTCTAGAAAACGTTACACACCTAGCGGTGATATCATAAGATGGCCTAAATAATCTGGATTCTAAATTGTCGTATAATTAGTCATGATGTCATGTCCGACCTGATTCATTTTGCACCAGCATTGACCTCTGTTGATCCTGAAAAAAAAAAAAAAAAATTATTTATATAAATAGTTGGGGTTGCTTGTTTCTTTTTTTTTTCCTTTTTTCTTTTTACTACTCCACACATACATTTCCTTTTCATAAAACATGATGACTGAAGGTAAGGAAATGATAGTCACATCCTTCATTAACACATGGACTAATGAACCAACAGTTGATAATACTATTCCTCTCGCAACTCCCACTCGGTTTTTAATCGAAAGTGGAGAATGGACACTCACGCCACATATTGGTGGCTCAATTCATAACGAAATGAACCCTTTTGATTGTAATTTTCAACAACGCATCACAGCAAAGCCCACTACTGATAAATGGACCCCTAGTCCCACATTAAAATCTGCAGTCATCTATACCTCTCCCGAACCTGAAATGACTTTAGATACAGTAAGATCACCCGAAACTCCACCCATGTCTGCCAGTGAAAGCCCTTCAAGTGCATCTTCTTTCAGCTCTATCTCTGAACAAACCTCACTCCCATATTCTCCTCAACAATCACATACCATGATAAATCCTCAATTCAATAGTTTCTCTCCGGAACAACAGGAGCAAAATCGTCGCAGTAGCCGAATTCAAACTAAGCAACCTTTTTTCTCTGAATATTTAAAAGAAAACGATGGCGATTTTAGCCCTAGATCTGCATCTGTCCAAAGCGGTCGCAAGAGACGCATTGTTTTTGAAGGTGATGATGCAGAAGATCGCAGAAAGAAATTTTTAGAACGTAATCGTGTTGCTGGTAAATAACTGAAAAAAAAAAAAAAAAGTTTCTGAAGTGTTCTTTGACTAATTAAAATTATATTTTTAGCATACAAATGCCGCCAAAAGAAAAAGAACTGGATGCAAGATCTGGAGCAAAAAGCTGAAATTCAAAATCATCACAACGAAGAACTCCGTTCACTGGTGGCACAACTCAAGGAAGAAAGCATGTACTTGCGCAACTTATTACTTACTCACGGTAATTGTGATTGTGATTCTGTACAAGCATACCTTCGAAAGACGTCAGTTGAGATTACTCGAAATGTACAAGTGTTACCGGTGGCACCTCCTATTAGAAGACATTCTACATACGCTCCTACTATGCCAGCCTTTGAAGGTCCCTTTAATCCTATGCCACCATTCCAAGAAACCTCTACAGGTTTAACACCATTTCTTAATACTGTCATTAATAAGTCTGAGCCATCAAACGATTATTTCTCCCAATCCCATGCGGATTCTGCTTAAGAATACGACCTTCATTATATTAGTTCATCGTTTATCCCTCCCTTTCTTTCATATTATGCTTTTTTTTTTCTCATCTCTTCTTTTCTTTTTATACAACATATCTCATGCAATAATCTATCTACCTACCCTCTTTTTTTTTTTCTAAAAAAAAAAAAATAACACTTCATATGCTATCCTTGTTTCTTTCTTTCTCGTTTAATCCATCAGCCTATTGTACATACAAAAATAAAGAGACCTTCATTTTTTTTCTTTTTCTTTTTTTTGTTCTTTCTTTTTTTGTCAATATTCCAGCAATTTGACTAATCGAGGCATAGATATGTTTACTCGGGGTCAGCTATACGAGTTCCGATACCCAATTACAAAAAAGCTTTTTTGTTTCTGTGATGGCGATTATGACATGGTTTTTATTTTCGCCCTAAAATGTATCACATAACCAGCAGTTTGGGTGGTCTTACTTGATTTGGATCCCAATGAAATGAGCCCAGAATAAAAAAGAAAAAAAAAAAAACCAAGATTTGAAAATCGCGATTGGCGGGTGATATTCATTTATCCCAAAAATAATAAATCGAGATGGGCCCGGGTAATGAGATATTAACCATTCATGACGTTTTGTTGATATTTCCCTCTTTTGAAACACTGTCACACAAGAATAAAAGAAAAAGTGTAACATGTAACCCTGTTGGGGGAACAGCTAAAAAAAAATATGCATGGAAATCACTTGATCCTCCGCTCATCGAAATAAAAAGAAAAAAAAAAAAGTGTGATGGTGCAATCAATTTTAGACCGTTATTTTTTTTATTATTATTATGGTGACAGAGTTCTTTATTTTTATTTTACAGTGCGGTCGATGAATGTTGTCCGTTTTAAATTGCCGTCATGTCAGTTACCAAGGGGATGCCACTACAAAAAAAAAAAAAATATCAATTTCTTCTTTCAATCAATCAATCTTTTTTCTTCCTTCCTTTTCCATGCCTGCTAAATAACTAAAAAAAAAAAGGGGGACAAAGATCGATGGGCTAAACTCTCATGATTTGCATTCCCACTGAATATCAAGGAGACTCTTGATTTTGCAGAAAGATGACAATAGTTTCAGGACTGACTTGAAATGTTTCTAATCCAAGTATGGATTATTTTAAGCTTGCCAATATGTTTTATAACAATCAATCAGCTGCCAACTCCCCCATTTAAGCGAACTTTTTACAAAGGTTTGAGCAATAATATGGTGATTTATTATCAATATAGGGTTACTTCTCAGATACTAACTTAGTTATGGAGTTTGGGAGAAAGTACATAGAATATTATCACAAGAGGGCTAATCAATCAAATCTAAACAGATGCTTAGCCCTACAAAACACTCAGGCCCTAGAATTACTAAATCGACTTTACGAAATAGTCAGATTTGCAGAAAAAGTGTTAGTTTTTAATCTATACTTTAATGTTTGCCAATTCGTAACAGCTACACTTTTTTTTTTAATAATAAAAAAAAAAGGGGGGGTCCATAATACAAAGAGCGTATTGAATGAAGTAACCGAAGAAAATTATGACAATCATGCCGAAAATAGTATGATACGTGATGAAGAAAGCAGCATAGGCATAACTTTTACGACAAGCTGAGTGGCACTCGCGTCTAATCTTTAAGTACTTTTTCGTGATGATTTGATCCCATCCTTGTACACAGTGATGGATGTTTCCGTTGAAGTGAGAAATCCGCTATTTGTAAGTAGTGCAACAAGAAACATTTGATTGTTATCTAATCAGTTATATCGTCAATTAATTATCCCTCTCCAGTAATGATATTACAGAACTTGACTGGTTAGAAAGAGAGTTTTTTTTTTTAACGGACAAAACAAGATTTGATGGCATCCTGTTTAAGGCAGATAATAAATCTGTTTCTTCCGCACTTGTTGAATTCGCTGGAGATGTCAACGACAATACTTCATATATAAAGGACACCAATGATATTAAAAAGCTGTACGTCAACATAGGTGTGGATCCATCTTTGCTTGGAAAAATGCTATCATAAACGAAATAGCATGACTGTAAATTTGTTTGTATCATAAATCACAAGCTTATCTTGTTTCTCGTATGCTCATCAATTTAAAACGCTGGCATAAATAGAGTCATACTTGGTAAATCCATTTTCATTAGAGCGAACTGGCTTTAAGAGTTTGACCAGAATAATTTCCCTATCCTAAACAATTTAACCTCACATAAACCTCAGAAAAGGTAAGTCTATAGTATGCATACTCTGATATTACACTCAAGTGTGATTTCCGGTTCGTTAAATGGTGTTAAAAACTATATTGGAATCAGTGATTTCAGTGAACACGCTTCCCGATAAATCGTGAAGACATTTTCTAAATCTTTATTGTAGACATTCTCGCATCCATCTTTTAAAAAACAAGCTGTGGTTTTAAATATATTATTAAGCGTAAGAAATCGCCAATAATTATCCAGATGAAACGACAATTCGACAAAGTAATTTATCAAATTTGACAACGCAATGTTGGCTAATCATTTTTGATTGGGCGCCATTTTTTTTTTTTTTTTTTTTTTTTTGGATTACAGCGCACATATTTGAAAATCGCCAAAAAAAAAAAATCGTATATCCCAAAATTATAGTAAGTCGAGGTGGGCCCGGGTAATGAGATACTAAACATTCATGACGTTTTGTTGATATTTTCTCCCCTGTTGAGACACTGTCGTACATGAATATAAGGGAGTGTAACATGTAACCCTATAGGGAACAGCTAAAATATGCATGGAAATCACTTGATGCACCGCTTATCGAAAAAAATTGTTCACTGGGTACAATCAAATTTAGACTGTTTTTATTTATTCCCTTTTTTTTTTTTTTTTTCTACCCTTTTTTTTTTTTTTTTTTTTTGGTTACTGGATGAGAGTTTTTTGTATTGCAACATTTGTTATTGCTTTTAATAGTGTCGGTTGCCACGTTATCGGACTTGGAAAGCGACAACAGGATGATGCTATAGCTACCCCGGGTATTTCTGAATTACGCCCACTTCCATGGGGAAAAGTAAACTTTATCCATACTACGGATACGCACGGTACGTTGTATTCATCATCATTTATACAAAAGAAGGTAGCTCTGACAAGAAAAAAGTTGTTTAGGTTGGTTAGAGGTAAAAAAAAAAAAAAAAACTATACTAGGTCTAGTAAAACGTGTGTATATTATTGTACTCAAAAGCTTTAAAGGGTCACTTGCTTGAAGGTGCTTATAATGGTGATTTAGGAGACTTTTATTCATTTACGGTAGGATAGGGTCTTGTTTGTATTTTACATAACAACATAGGCTGATATATATATATGTTTATAGATGAGAATGAAACAAAAGGCTCGTCATTTACAAAGGGATTTATTTATTGTCGATACGGGTGATACACACGATGGTAAAATGCAAATAATAAATTGACTCTTTTTTTTTTAAAAAAAAAAAAAAAAAAATCTTTTTCTTTTTAGGAAATGGTCTCAGTGATGTAACGTCACCCAGGGGAAAATTGTCCCAACCCTTGCTTACACACATACCTTATGATATTTTGACTATCGGTAAATTATATTTTTAATGTTTTCTTCTATGGATTTCTTTAAACTTCAGAGACTAACCATAAATAATTAAATCTAGGAAACCATGAGCTTTACGGTAAAAATTAGAAATTAGCCCATCATTCCCAAAATATTATTAAGGTTTTTTTTTTTTTTTTTTTAGTAAATGATGTCACTCAGGATGTGGTAGAAAACTTCAGACCACATTGGAAGGATCGCTATCTGACCTCCAATGTCTATTTTAAGGATTTGAACAATAACAGAACCGTGTCAATTGGGTAACATAATCAATGTTTACATAAATAAACTGACAACTCATCAAAACACAATGATTGATCTACGATCTAGTGAAAAGTATACCTACTTTGAAGGCGAATTCGGTACACGAGTTCTGGCATATGGATTCTTATTCGACTTTAGAAGTCATGGAAATAGGTCGGTCGTAGAAACAGTCCGACATGAAATTGAGCAAGATTGGTTTCTGGATTCTTTAACAGCTCATGAGCCGGATATTATTACTTTGATCGGTCATATTGGTCTTCGGTTTAATGAATTCTATATCTTAATCGATGCTATCCGAAAAGTGTATCCAACTATCCCCATCGCTATTTTGGGCGGGCACACGTAGGTCCCCTCCCTTTATTATTATTTTTTCGGTTAATCATTCTTCCCCTCCTTCGTTTTATATTAAGCTTTTTATTTTTAGGCACATTCGAGATTCTGTAAAATATGATCCTTGGGCCGCAGGTATAGAATCCGGAAGATATTTCGAGACCGTCGGATTCTTTTCAATGGACGCAAGTAGACTAGGAGAGAGAGAGAGGGGGGAAGGGCTTTTTATTTAGCCATAATATGGATGCTGATTTTTTTTTTTTTTTTTAGGATTTTTCAAAGGACAATGTCACTTTTGCCAGACGTTATCTTGATCAAAATAGACAAACCTATATATATCATTCAGTCAATAATAATGAAACTGAGTTTGACACTGAAGTTGGACGCAATATTACAAACACTATTTTTGACCTTCGCAAGGAAAACAGCTTGTCTACTATCTTGGGTTATGCACCGCAAGATTATTATTTAACTGCGGCTGACCCAAAAACCAATTCAAGCGTATTTCATTTGATTATGCAAGGTATGATTCATATATTTATAAGGATTAGAATGTCAACTTTGTCACTAAAATACTATTCTAAAGAGGTATTACCGAAAATTGTGGCCAAAGAGGACTTAAAGAACCCACCTTACTTCCTATTGAATTCGGGTGGTGTTCGCTACGATGTTTACAAGGGGGCATTTTCCAAGGACAACATGTACCAACTGTCGCCCTTTGAAGACGAGTTTTTCTGCATTGAAAATGTGCCACGTGACATTGTTCTGAGACTATTGCCTATTTTAAATAAGGAAGGTGAGGCATTGAAGAAACGAGGCGTGTGGCCTTACAATGAGAGGGTTTCACAAGATCAGCAAGCGTATCTTCATCAACAAGAAGTGCGTACGCCTGGATATGCTACCACAGACGATTTTGGAACCGATGGTAATTTAAATGACCCCCCCCCCCCCCTCAATCACTTTTTTTTTTAAAATTTACTAAAATATGAACTCTCTTATAGGCGATGATACGGTTCATGTTCCAATCCCGTATTTTGACTTGCCTGCATTTGTAGCCAATGATGTGCCTTCTACGGCATTCATTGATATTATCTATGCAGATTTCATTGACTCTCAATTACAAGACTTGTTGTTCCAGCTTTCACACAAGAACTGGACCGTGATTAAGCCGTATGGTAATGTAACCAGCAGTACAATGTGGGTTGATTTCGCTAGCAAATATTGGAGTCCCTGATTGTCTTTTTTTTTTTTTCGGCTATCGGTATATTAGCTTCCCACAGTTAAAAACCGGCCCGAGATTTTTTTTTTTTTTTTTTGCCCTTAATAATTCTCAACTCCCCGCAAATATCTTCACTTATAAAAAAAATAAAATAAAAAATTGGTTCTAATTTTTCTACTTTTTTTTTATTTCTATTAAAACATTGCAAAATTAGGTGAATCATGGCGTCTAGCTCAAAAGACACACCTGGTGTCGGAAAGAGATCTTTAAAGGCACCTCAACTCCGAGATGCTGCTAAACAAAATGCAGAAATAAAGCAAGCTTCAGGCACGATTCGTGTCGGACTCATGCTTATCGGTATTGTCATTGCCGCAGTTGCTTATGCCTTTCCCAACTTGTCTTCCATTCTTAATGGCGAAAAGATTGTTGATCAATGTAAGCAAACTTTAAATCTAGTCCCTCCTTTTTTTTTTTTAAAAAAAAAAAAAAGCTAAACCTTTTTCGTGTAGCTTCATGTCAAAAGTACGCCTTAATGATTGACGCCGGTTCAACAGGATCGCGTATTCATGTGTATCGATTTCACCAATGCACACATCTGGAGCCCGTAAGATTAGAAGAGGAGGAACTTTTCGCACAGACCATTCCCGGTTTATCCGCCTACCCCGACAACCCACAACAAGCTGCGGAATCACTTGACGTTTTATTGAAAGAAGCCCAAGCGCTCGTCCCAGTGCAACTTCAAAAAAGGACACCGATTGCTGTCAAGGCAACCGCTGGTTTACGTCTCTTGGGCCAAACCAAGGGACAAGATATTTTGGATGCAGTGCGTCATCATCTCGAGACCCATTACCCTTTCCCTATCGTCGGTGGTAAAGAGGGTGTAGCTATTATGGATGGTCGTGATGAAGGTGTCTTTGCTTGGATCACCGTGAACTTTTTGTTGGGCAATTTTGACCCTTCCCCTATCTCTCGTCCTACAGCTGCCGTACTGGATTTAGGTGGCGGATCGACTCAAATCGTGTTTGAACCTGATCTTTTAGAAGACGGTACTTTACCCCCACTTCCCGATAACGATTTTAAGTATGTTTTGAACCATGAAGGTCGAGATTACCTGTTGTATCAACATTCCTATCTTGGTTATGGCTTGATGGAAGCCCGTAAACGTATTCATCAACAGGTTTTAGATCAAGCTTTGGAGGATGACTTATCACATGCTTGCTTGCCTCGTGGTCTTGCCTGGGATTACACCAAAGGCACGGACCCTGTCCAATTTCTCGGTGCTGGTAGTTTCTCTGACTGCTTGGGCGTAGCCGATCTCATGTTAAACAAACACAAGGAATGTGATTTCTCACCTTGTTCCTTTGACGGCATTTACCAACCTCCCATTGCCGACACTTTCACGAAGGGACCCATCTATATCTTTTCTTATTTCCATGACCGTACCATTCCTCTTGGTTTACCCGCCTCTTTTCGACTTCCGGAACTGGCCCAATTGACAGAATCGATTTGTTCAGGTGCCTATCTGGAAAATGTGACGGATATTGCATTGAAGGATGAGTTATTGGATCGTCCTGAATGGTGTCTTGATCTCTCGTTTATCTACCGATTACTCTCCTTTGGTTATGAGATTCCCGATGATCGTGAATTAACTGTGGCTAAAAAAATTGATGGTGTGGAGACAGGATGGTGTTTGGGTGCTGCCATTGCTATCTTGGGTGATAATTCTCTTCGGGACTTGACATAAGCTTTTATATATACCAACGATTTTTTTTTTTTTTTTTTTAATATATATATATATTTTTATATATAAAAAAAAACTCCAAACTTACAAAACATATTTTTATTATAATTATTACTCGTTTTTTTTTTATATCACCCAACCGGGAGGAGAGAATACATAGACCATGTCTGAATCCTTGAGGATCAGAGAAGGAACAGGATTAGCATATACAAAGGGTAACTCGTTCCCCAACTCATTATCTGGAGCACGAAACAGACCGATCGACAAGACCTCATGTTTGATCAAGAGGGTTTTAAACAGTGAAGCATAGTTGCGACCGACAAATTCCATGGGCATATGTATGCTGGTGAGATGGGGGGCTAAACGTGCAGCGGCTGAAGCAGTCTTGATTTCGGGCGTGGTGGAAAACAAGTAGGCAGCAGAACCATCATACAGAGGACCGGGCATCCCACACAAGGTCTTGATGATGGATACAATATCTGGCTTATAATAAGTTTGACTGAGCAAGACATTACTGATGAGACTATCTGCAACCACGTCACCTGCTGCATAGGCAGGCGTGTAGAATACATCAATTTCTTCCGCCACATCTTTTCCTTGCAAAAGATGCATAAATTTAATATTGGATTTCTCAACTATTTCAAATAAGCGTCAGTACCTTTATATATATATATATATTGCAAAAAAAAAAAGGGGGGGGAGGAGACTTACTGAGGTTGACAATGGTATATGCATCTTTAGGCCTTTCCTGTAACAACAAGTCTAGGATGTGACTTGCCATGCTATAAACAATGATGCGTAAGTGATTGTTAAAATGAGTGGTCATTGCATAGATGGTACTTTACACAGCAGGACTATCTGAGTTACGTTCATATTGATCCAAGCATTCTTTCTCGCTAAGATGGGTAAAAATTAGAAAATAGAATAAATAGAACAGTTTTTTTTTTTTGTTACCTCATGACTACCACTTGTTTGGCTCTTTTTGCACCTGCTCGAAGAAGATCATCTGGATGCCTACAATTACCCTATTGAAATACCTTAAGTTTTTTTTCTTTTTTTTTTTTTTTTTTGGACCAATATAAACAATCATCGTAATACAAACCTCCATGAAGTAGACTTTGGGAAAGGTATTGATCAGATCGAATATTTTGGGCGACGGCTTTTTCGAGCAAAGCAAAACAATGTCCTGAAGATCTTCAGGTTTAATGTTGGGCGATCTTAGATTATAGATAAACTTAAACATGTTGATCACTTCACGATGTAAGCAGACGAGAACATGTCCATTCATGCCCTCTGTGGAACTAATCGTGACGTCTTCCAGCTCCACAGGTTTTTCAAGCAAATAACAGAGTGGCAAGGAGGTATCATCATCATAATTATCTTCAGAGGAAGAACACTTTCCAATGCGTTTAATTAAGGCACGGCTTCCTGTCAAGATGGCATGTCGTTTCGAAGGGAGTTTTGAAACTGCATAGGATTTTTCGGAAGGAGGTCGGTCGGATCGAGCACTTTTCTGAGACATGTAGGATCGGACCGTGCTTGTGGAGGTAGACGGCTTTTGTTGACCCTGTGGTTGTGGTTGCTGCTGCCGTTGCTGCTGCTGATAGTGAGTGCCAAGCACTTCATGCGTCAGATGATCCTGTTTAGAAGTAATAGGCATAGTGGCGGAAGAAGAGGGCTCATTGTGTGAGATGACATAACCTCCCTGTTGAGTTTCATAAGCTGTTTCAAAAGGGTCCTTATTGTATTCATCTGGTTTACTCTAAACAAATATGAATTAGACAATTATTTTATCTTTTTTTTCTTCTCTCTCTTATGCAATGCATCTATTTTACCAGAGTAGAAATATCTTGGACTTCTTTTGGTCCCTCCGCTATATAAACACACTTATCAGAACTTTGGATTACATATGAATTGCTTGGGTTCAACAGAATTTCAAAGTCATTGCGTGAAGACATGAAGGTCTTGATAGCAAATAAAATCACTTGAGCCTCTTCAAACAAAAACTATTTATAGATAAGTACCAGAGTTTTTTTGTTTTTTTTTTTTTTTTTTTTTGTTTATATTATTACCAATGCCGCTTGTCCAAATGTTAGACCAATGATACATTCAGGTGCGCTTCCTGTATAGATTTCATTACATGATCCATCATCTACGGGAAAAAAAAAATTCCAAGGGAGGGATTAGATGTCTATGCTTTTCCCCTTTTTGGGGGTTGAAATTACGTTACCAAACTGAGCTTGCCATCCTTCATCATAACTATTAATAGGTTGTCTTTGATGAAGCAAATTTGTGAGTAAAGTAGAAGCACCTCTACAACGACAATTCATGGCCAGTAAATATTGTTTAAATTCTCGTACACAAATGATTTCTTTAGCCACTTTTTGATAGATGGCGGTACTGGGAGATAAATTGTAAGTGTAGATAGGAACATCGTGACTAACAGTATGGCAATACAATGACCAAAGTCTAACTGTATTTCGCTCATCTTCTTTGGATGGATCTGAGGCATTTTGATCTTTTTTTTTGGGGGGGGGAGGGGATTAGATGAATAATCATGCGCGCATAATAAAAACAGTAGTAATTACCTGATATTGTAAAGATAGCTTCGGCGTATCTTGCTTCCTACAGATATAGAGAGAGAAAGGTGTTATGATGTTTCATCCATGTGTAAGTATACTATTTTTTTTGTTGTTGTTGTTGTTGCTTACGACACGCAGTAAAGTTTTTTCGTCCTACAATAAACAGATGAGAAATAAAGACATCATCAATCGTAAAAAAAAGTTTATTATTTACCAAAACAGATCCGTGAAGAAATTGCACTCGATGACCCCATATTGAATTACGTTCCATCATTTTCAATTGCTCTGTCGGTCGATTGATATCCAGAAAGACTACACTTAGATGAAATTCTGTATTTTCCTATTCAATTGTATAAGTAAAATATAACCCCCCCCCCTTTTTTTTTCCCGCATTATTTTACTCACTGTATTTAAAAATCCATCAAGGATCTCAATCACTTGGTCTGGTGTGAAAGAACCCACGATAAGAATAAACGGCGTAGATCCTTTACTAACATGACCTTCACCATCTAAGCGCTATTTAATATGCGTACCATGGAGATGCTTTCATTAAGGCGGGGCCCTTACCTTTGCGTTTCCGAAAAGTCTCGGATACATCGCCAATAAGACCAGGCAGTACAGAAAGTGCAATTACGATTAAGAGCATCATTACTACTCTGCTGCCTTGTGTATTAGGTGTGATATCTACATTGGCACTATTTTAGTAATAATGAGGTATTTTTTTTTCTCTCTCTTTCTTTCTTCGTACCACCATAACCGACGGTTGACAGTGTCACCATCACGACATACCTAAAAATAAAAATAAAATAAAAATCAATCCATTGAGACCTAGTTATAAGAGAGTTTGTCAAGAAACTTACAAGGATTCCAGAATGGTATAATTATGATCGCCAAATGTTACTTCTGTATATTGAAATGCACATGTTCCATTATACAATAGTACAACTAAAGTACTAACGAGGTGTATTAATTTCGTTTTTAAAGGGTCGATGGGCTTATCTAAGGTTTTTTTTTTTTGTGCGGGGTGCGATGAATGTTTTGTTTATATGTTACATGTTTGTCTATTTACCTGTGATTTGTAAATTGATTTTAATTTTCATGACACTTTTGATTCTCAAGAGCAAGACCCAACTTCGAATGAAATACGGCACTGATGATAAGGGGAGGGGAGGGGGGAGGGTTAGATTTTCATGAAATAAACTGGGTAAAATACGTTTACCATATATATATTGACCATGAGGGATATAAGTTGAGATTAGAAAAGGAATTGTAGTCAGCATCTCAATGCAAAACCTAAAACTAAATAAGACCGCTGTAGGATGCTTTGTGATGAAAAATCCTAACAGAAATAAAAATTTGATTAAAGATTACATGAGTTGTGTACATATTTTATAAGCGCGCGCGGTACGCGTGTGTGTGTATGTGTGTATGAGGGCTTTATTCACTTACGGATGGCAAATGAACACAGATCCCAATAGGTCAATGCTAGACACACTAGCCTAGTTATCAAAAGAAGGAAAATCATGTTATATTACTTTTCCTCTCATGAGTCACTTATTAAAAAAAAAAAAAATTAATATACCATAAATCATAAGATCTGTATTTATAAAGCCAAGGCGGGTACAGATTCACATCTGCTTCTTCCTTCATTTCGACCAGATATGCAATACAAAATATGAGATCAACTAATAAATCTAAATTAACCTAATATATAAACTCTTAATGACTTTTTTTTTGCTTATGCATAAATATAAAAAAACTTTTTACAAATAAAATGATGGTCTTTTTGGCAAAGAGCAGGCTTTTCATAAAGGCAATGTGTGGATTATACATGAAAAAGTGCTGCATGCGCTCTGTAAAAGATCTTTTCTGAGTGTCATGTCTAATAATAATAATAATAAAAAATAATTAAATAACACTTTTTCCCCCCCTAAGCTAATAGAGAATACAACAACAATAATAATAAAAAAAAAAAGGGATAAGGTTTACCGAGCTTTTCTTCTTTCATATCTGTAATTTGCACGAACTGTACTTAAATTGACATGAGACTGACGCATAAACAATCCGTCCAACGAACGATTTGTTGGTATTGATTCAATCACTTCTTTTGCCCTATATATAAAAATTATATATACAAATAATAAACAATCCAAATCATTCCACCTTCTCAATCACACACACAAACAATAATAATTACTTTGGATCTAGCGCAGGTAAGACAAGATCAGTGGGACGTTCGTCTTCATCGCAGGAAGAAGAACCGTTTCGTTTGGGTAAAATTGAAAGTCGCGCTGACAATTTAGGTTTGCAACACTGTCGTTGTTCCATACGCCGTTTTTTTCGCTTGACAATACTACTACTGTGATTACTTGCTCTTTCGTCTGCATCACTGTTGCCTCTCGACGACGATTCATCGCTGGAAGGTGGGGGAATGGTGCCGTAGTTGGTTGTTTCAACGCATAAACTATTCTCTTCATCGTTCGCTTTCTGTCTACCAGAGAGCATTTTTGGTTTTTTTTTTTAAAAAAAAAGAGAGAGTTAAAGAAGAGAAATAAAAAGGGGAAAGGATAAGAACAGTTCTTGCTTATAAGCCTTCACACGTCACACACATATACACACACACACACACACACACATAATAAAAGGTGATGCGGCATTTTTTCTATTGAGGGTAATTTCACTTTGACCGCACGTGGAAAAATAGAGAACATCCCCCCTCAAAACACTGTGCAATTTTTTTTTCTTTTTTGGCCGGGGAAAAGAGAAGTGATAGACCTTTATAAGATATATAATCATGCACAGCTGTTTATCTCTCCCTAATATGGTCTAGACTTTCTGTTTAAAAAGTGAAAACTGTATATTATTTATTTTTTATTGATGAATAAAAAAATGAAGGAGTTTACTCTTCAGCAACAACAGGAGCAGCCTTCTTGGGCTCATCACCAGTAGCTCTGGTGTAGATAACTTGAGCGTGATGGCGAGAGATGGCCTTGATCAAACCTTGGGCTTCGAGCTCACGGATGGCAACACGAGCCAAAGAACCGTTCAACTTAAGACGATCAACCAAAACGGATTGAGAGATGAGCTTGTAGGTAGGGACTTCCTTGAACAAACGATCGTAGGTAGGCTTGTCGAGAATAACAATGTTGTTAGACTTATCCTTAACCTTCTTAGCGGACCACTTCTTCTTGGCCTTCTTTCCACCAGAGGATGAGCTAGGCTTACCAGCAACGTCTTTTTTAGCCTAATTGTTTAAACACATTGTTAGTTTAATAGTTCTTTTTTTTTTTTCAAACAGTCGAAATGTAAAAAAAAATAGAGAGAATGACGGAAACATAAGCCAACAGTAAAATATCCCATCCACCTTCACTATCTGATTTTTTTTTCTTTTCATCTTCTCCCACTCCTTTTCATCCATCCATCCTCTTCTTTTAAATCATGTTGCATCGGTTAATCGTCATTTACTGTTGTTGGCTTCCATCATCTCTTTCTTTTTTTTTTTTTCAAATCTTCTATAATAGTGCTGTATGTACGAACCATTTTTGATTAGAGGAGGAACAAAACTATGGCAGCCTGCCACACTTGTTCTTGTAGCTCGCTTTTCGCCGCGGAGATCCTTTTTCCTTCCCCGCAAGTCACACTTTCGGTCCGGACATTTTTTTTTTTTTTTTTTCTTAAATTTCTGAGATTGGGGAGAAAGGTGACTTTGAAATTATCAAAAATCGTGCTAAATACCTTTCCCATATAATTTTGACAGGTAGTCAAGCGGAATTAGGGAAAGCTTAAATTTTTTTTTTTTTTATAGTGGTTAGTTTCGTTTTGATAGAACCCTGGTTTTGATGCATGCACAAAATCAGTATTGTTGAGGTGTAGAATAGTTACTAAAGAGCCAAAAGGATACAGGAGAGTTGATTAAAAATGATTTCAAAAGCTTCGAGAAAAAACAAAAACCCATCTTATAAGTGAGGCTATGAGTAGAAAGTTCACTAATAAATGAGGTTTAGTCCCCCATGCCGAAGTTTATCCCCTCATATATGCATATTGTACTAAAAAGCAATGCTTTTCATTTATATCAATCAGATCCAAGCTAAGACAAGTGAGATCAAAAGTCAAAACTTGAGAGAAATGACTGCATTACTTTCATGTCATCGAAACCTGATCTACTAGACATGTTTAATATTGGAAACTTATCTGCGGTACATAAAAAGAATGCACACTTGAAAATAAAGAAGGCCTTGTCATGGATGATTAAAAAATGTCAAGTGTTTAAATTATTCCAATGATATTAAACCAGAGACATTTAAAAGAAATCCTAAACCCTTCGAACGTTACAACCAGCACTCGAAAGACAATAACCTTCTTTTTTTTTTCTTCTTCTTCTTATTGTAAAATAATTATCACTTCCATCTTGTCCAAACTTTATCTTGTACACTACCAAAATTAAAAAAAAAAAAAACTGAACCCTTACATGGCCCCATAATGATGCAAATAAAAAGAAAAACGTGCTTTTCGGTTTGACAAAGAACAGATGGTTCCGGCCTGATACATAATCAGTAGCTGATATCAAAAGCTGCACTAACGTCATCCTTCCCCAAATGTATAATAATCTAATAACAGCAACAAAAAAAAAAAAAGACGAAAATGCAGTAGATGACGTTTCTAATGAAAATGTCGTATGAAAAAACGTGCCCTTTGCTTTTGTAACGATTTTGACATATGTTTGCCACCCTTATTCTGTTTATTTTAAACTCTCTTTTTTTATTTAAAAAAAAAAAAATCTTAATTTTCTTATTGCTCATCGCATCATGTAATGCACTCTGCGGGTTCACTTTGTCGGCAATATGACTTACAGATGCAATGTATGAGGATAAAAAAAAAAAAGCTCATCTGGATGATGATGCCTCATACACACGATATCATATCGGCATGATGAATGGCAACATAAAAAAAAAAAAAATGAGCTTATGCCGGTATTTTCGGTATACTATTGCAATGACATCCTCATTTTCTCTCTCTCTCTCTTTTTTTTTCCTTATACAAATGTATAAATATGAATGCATTTAGTTATTTCATTTTTTTTTTTATTATTATTATTCTAAAAAACCTCATCTCTTTACATACTTATCTTCATATGCAATTCACTGCCACATTAACTCTTCTTGCTTTAGTAGCTTTCTTTGGTACAGCCATGTCATCACCTACACCCGATGAATACCACAAGGAAATAGGATGTTTCGCTTATCCAGCCACCACAAGAACCCCTTTCTGCACTCCAAATTAAAAAAAAAAAAACCTTGTTCCCCTCAAATTTTTTTTTCTTTTTATATGCGTTGTAACAGTACACTCTCTTCTATTTATATCTAGTCATTGACCTATTTATCATCCCTTCCCCACACTTTCAAATCATATAATAAATTATTATATTTTAATGACCAGTCTACTTTTTAGTAATAAAGCATCTTTTCCTGTCAATAAAGTGTTGTATTTAGTCATCTGGTATTTTTTTTTTTTTTTTTGTTTATCGTTAACTTTCCAACATGTTTGGCCGATACCGTTGTTAGACCGAATGCAAAATAATTAACCGTCCTTGTAAATTTGACTTTTTTTTTCCCGCTTATAAAGGTTAAAGCTATTAAATTCACCATTCTCACATCTCTTCTGCTGTTTCTTTCCTTTCAATCTGTCATCAGTGGTAAATGTTTTGTAAAATAGTCGAAACTACTAGTAGGTAATTAATACTTGTCATAATATTAGAGGCTGCTTTTCTTTGAGAACTTCATTCGATTTTTTACAGGCGTATAGTATATTAGAACGATGTTACCGTTTTATAGGTACAAAGTGAGATATTTCATTTAAAATTTGTTTTGTTTACCAGTAAGCTTACTATATTGTACAAGTCATAATGCGGAGAAAAGTTGCTCCATTAAAGAATTTCTGTAGCATCAATGATAGTTACACAGTAACTGAGATCTTAAAAACCCAAATTCATCGGTTGCTATTGTAAAAAATTTAAAGTTTATGATTTGCAAATAATCAATAACAACCTTATTTCCTGTCTTGCTGTACAACCAATGATTCGAATAGAACACGTTAACCTTAAGCCCCACTGCTAAACTTGCCGTTTCTTCTCCTTTTCTTTTCCTTTTCTTTTTCCTTTGTGATGTTCTTCTCTAGTTATATGGACTTATTTCAATGGAATGGTAATAATGTGTGTGACATTTATAATAATTTAAAGAGTTGTGATTTGTTGCTACTATTAATTTAAGGCAAGTATTCAAGATATTTACAGAAATGTCTTAAAATGGCTTGTATATTCATGAAGCCTGTTAATGGAATGATGATTTAATAACGATCAGCTAATGTTGGTAATAATGGATGAGCGAAGCATAGTTATTATACCTTGATCGAATCAAAGATTACAATTGGCTTACAAGTCGCTAGTTAAATAAATCGAATCTGTCCATCTCAGAACGTTCTGATTTAGCGAACGTTAAACGCTTTGTTTGTACAATAATAAATACGTATTATTTATACGCCGTAATGCGGGAGAATTAAAGTAAGATGAAGGAGGAGGAGAGGGGGGGAGACATAAACAGGTGTAAGATATGCATATAAGCACTGAAAGTCAAGTATTATATTACTGAGCAAATGTATATCATGACTCCAATAGTTTCCCGCCTATATTACGTTCGTTACGACCAACAAAAAGAATAAAAATAACTCACTTATTGCTCCTGCAACACTTTAGGGTTTTGATCAGCAAATAACACATCTCTCTTTGTTGTACAAACCAGAACTAATTTGGTTTTATGTCTTTGTCACCCTTCTCTGTTCTTTCTCTTCTTTTACTTGACTTTTTTCATTATTCTTTACGTCTCATACAATGTCAGACACTTCTGGTTAGTAAATTTTCACATTTATCAATCGGTATTTTTTTTAAGAACCAATCTAAAATGTTAAATTGTACTAGATTATAGTGCTGAACAGCTCTATGAAAGAGGAAAAGAACTCTACTGGCGCGAAGAATTCGACTTGGCCTTGGAAATTTTTATGGATGCCATTGATCAATATCATCACCCAAACTCTTATTACTATGTGGGGATTATGCACCGCAAAGGAGAAGGCACCGCGAAGAATTATGCCAAAGCTCTAAAGTATTACATAAAAGCTGTAAAAAAAGGAGTAACGGCTGCCGTAATGCCTATCGCCCACATATTTTATTCTGGCGGATTTGGCGTTCATCAAGATTACAGAAAGGCAATGAAAGTATATCTATTTGCTGATTCAATTGCGTCCGAGTTTTATGATTCTGACATATCCAAGGCACATTATTTTATTGGAACGATGCACTATAATGGATATAGTACTCGTATTGATTATAATTCGGCTCTGATGTGGTTCAAATCTAGCGCAAATAATGGACATATGAAAGCTGCTTGTGGAGTGGCTATAATTTACCTAAACGGCAATGATGTCCCACGACAACCCAAGTTAGGCTTCAAATGGCTGTTAAAAGCAGCTAAAGGAGGAATAACAGAAGCACAAGAGGCTATGGTATATTTTTATCAAATGTACAATGATCCACGCGACTATAAAAAGTTATTGTACTGGTTTAAAAAATATGCAGATGCCCCCAAAAAAAAAACTAAGTTTTATCGCAGTTTCTTTGAAATGCAATATATGGTTGGAATTATTTATAAACGCGGACTCGATGTTCCTGTTGACTTGAATTTGGCTTTGCATTGGATCAAAAAATCTGCGGCTGGTGGTTTTGAGTCGGGTAAACTAGAATTAGGTTTGATGTGTTATTTTGACGGAATATTTGGCCCGAAGCAAGAAGTAGCAGGCATGGAGTGGCTGATAGAGTTAGCAATTGAGGGGCATACGTACGCACAGACTGAGCTAGGCAATCGCCTTTGTCAAGATTCCTCAGTATTTTGTAACTATGAATTGGCGATGCACTTGTTTAAAAGAGCGGAAAAGCATAACGGTAATAGCATAGCCCAGTATGGAATAGGAAATATGTATAAACAAGGCTGGGGTGTTGTAATAGATTATGATATTGCGTTCAAATGGTTTAAAAAGGCTGCAAAACAGAAGAATTCAAAAGCACAACATGCACTGGGAAGAATGTACGCTGAAGGCAAAGGCATACTACAAAACTGGAAGAAAGCCGTATATTGGTACAAGACGTCTGTAGGAACTGATGATAATCCAGAGGCTCAGTATGATCTTTCACAATGCTATTACCAAGGTCAAGGTGTTCCAGAAAACACAAGTTTGGGGTTAAAATTACTTAAAAAATCGGCGGAACAAGGAAATAGCAAGGCCCAAGATAGACTTCGTAAGATGTATGACAAAGGAGAGTTTACAGAAACGAATTCGCGTGAAGAGTTGGCGTTGCTTCTAAAACCTGCTGAAAATGATGTAAACAGTGATTCTTTATACACCATTGGAAAGATGTTTCACAGTGGTTCTATTGTCAGAGAGAATTTCGTCTTAGCTTTTGAGTACTATGCGAGGTCAGCTGAAAAGGGCAACAAAGGTGCCATCGAAGGATTGAAACAATTGCAACTAGATGAAAGTATAGCTTCTGTAAACAAGGGTCCAGACGACATAGATTTTATATTATCATCTTTAAAAATTATTTCCAATCAAAATACTGCTGCACAGAGAAAAATTGATAAAGCCATATTCTTCCGTGTGGAAAACACCCGTAGCGCTATTCTGCTCGAAACTGAAGAGAGTCCCAAGTTTTTCCATGTAGAAAATACGAAAACTACCGTGATCAATAACAAGGACGAAGGAACCCACTTTTTTCATGTGAAAAATGCCAAACCTGCCATCGCTAAAACCAGATCAAGAGCTTCCCTGTTCTCCCGTATCACTAAAGTTAGATAATAAAAGCCAATATTAGTCATAGCTCAACAGATAAAAAATAAGGGGGGGGGGGGTTGAATTAATAAATATTTATAAAGCTGACAGTTTGATTTTTTTTCAAAAATGCAGCAGCATATACATTAGTTGTACCTTCTAAGTGTTAGTGTGACTTATATTAAATCTCAATGGAAAGATAGTTATAAGCTTGGCGCGCTTTCCGAAAGGTAGATGACGAGCAACAAAGTATTCTTACTATTTTTTGTAAGTAATGCTTCGATCCGCTGATCATTGGTAATCGTTGGCTTTCTCCTATTGCTTTGTTGGTATATCTCAAACCGTTTCAAAATCGTTCCGGGTGCAGCGAATCATAGGAACCGGCAACTTTCCATTCGTGCACTTCTGGTTTTACGCCTTGCTACTATAATTGTTTTTTTTCTCGTTTCTAAAACATGTTGAGCTTCTTTAGTAAACTGAATTTATTGGGACGAGACGGTTCAGAGTCGTCTGACATCGTACTTAAAATACGCAAAGGAGTTTATTCGTTAGTGCTGTTAATAAGCCAAGTATTTTATATCTTTACGGTAATATATTTATGAAGCCTGGTAATTGGATGATAATTTTATAACAATCAGCAGATGCTGGTAAAGGGGGATCAGTGAAGTATAAATCGTATACCTTGACCAAATTAGAGTTTAAAATAGGCTGAGTAATTGTTAGTTCAATAAATAGTATTTGAGAACATGATCATCGTAAATAATGGGCGTTAAATGCAAAATAAAAATGCTGATTATTTACGCCGTAATGCGGGATGATCAACGTATGATGAGAACGAGTGTGTGTGTGTGGGGGGGGGGGGAGAAGTGAGAATGGGAGAGATGGGATGTGTGTAAAGAACACGGAATCAAACATTGCTTTAATCAAACAAATGATTGAGTAAGCATCCCAATAAATCTTCACTCATGTTACATGTTGCGACGAACAGAAAGTGATGTTAAATGATTCTTTTATTGGTGTTCTAATAATTTTAAGTTTTTTTGTCTACAAGCAAGAACCCTCCCGCTGATGTACAGACGCCAATTTGATGAGCTTTATAAGCTTTGCCTTTTCTCTCCCTCTCTTTTTTTTTTCTCATCTTTTACTTAACTCTTGTCTTCATTTTTTAAATCTCATATCATGAATGGAAAAGGTGCTCAAAAACAAGAAGACTTTGACCACAGATACGCTTTGAATGCCGCTAGAGAAGGAAACTTAGATGCGCAGTTGTTCTTGGGCTCTTTTTATCAAAAGTATGGTACTCACCGCGATTTTCAAAAGTCCTTATATTGGCTTAAACAAGCTGCCGTTGTCGACAACAGAGACAGTAATGAAGTTCTTAAGTGTTATAAAGCACACTATTTGATCGGACTTGTTTATAAACGTGGACTTGGTGTTCCTGTCGATCCTGAGTTGGCTTTGCGTTGGTTTGAAAGTTCTTCAAATGGTAATTATGGAATAGGTAGACTGGAAAAAGGTCTGATGATCTACTTCAGCGGAACATTTGGCCTAAAGCAAGAAAAGGAGGGTCTAAGATGGCTGCGAAAGTTAGCAAACAAGGGTAGTGCGTATGCACAGGCTGAACTTGGTGTTCGTCTTTGTCATGATGGCTCAAAATTTCAAGACTATGAACAGGCAATGACATGGCTCCAAAAAGCGGTAGATTATAACGGTAATACCATTGCTCAATGGGGAATTGGAAACATTTATAAAAATGGCTGGGGTGTTGAAATCAATTATGCTGCTGCTATCGAATGGTACAAGAAGGCTGCAGATTGTGATGAGTCAAGAGCAGAGCATGCGTTGGGAAAAATGTACGCTGAAGGCAAAGGCGTAACACAAGACTGGGAAAAAGCCGTATTCTGGTACAAAAAGGCTGTTGAAAATGATGGTTATCTGGAGGCTCAGTATGATCTTTTACAATGCTACTACAGAGGTCAAGGTGTTCGAAAAAACACACGTTTGGGTTTGGAGTTAATTACACTTTTGGCGGAGCAAGGAAATGGCGATGCTATTGAAGAATTGAAACGATTGAAACCAAACGGAAATATCGGTCAAACAGATTCTATGTTATCTTCTTTAAAAATTAGCAACCAAGATGATGATGCCAAATTAACCCATGTAGAAGACCATAGTAATGACACTATGTCCGAAACTGAAGAAGAAGAAGAGCCCAAGTTTTTCAACGTAGATAACACACAATCCAAGTTTTTCCATGTAGAAAATACACCAAACAAGTTTTTCCATGTAGAAAATACGTCGTCGTACTAGTTCCATGTGGAAAATTCCAATACTACCACCGTCAAAACCGGAGCAAGAGATAGTTTTAATTAAAAAGCCTGAAATATAACCATTTATCACCCATAGATCAACGGTCAGAAGGGGTTTTTAAATAATTAATTAAAGTTAGGTTTTAAGATGATTTTATTGATTTTAACATAAAGCAGCATGTACGTTAGTTGTATCATATTTGAATTTTTTTTTAAAAACAAGGCAGCTGAAGTTAGTGTATAAATAATATTAAGTCACTATGAAAAGATAGTTACACTATTGATGTTCTTTCCAAAATGTGGGATGACGACCAACATGACAACGTTATTGTTTCAAGTATACAATACCTAATTTTACTGGTCTTTGGTAAGCATTGATTTTATTCTATTGCTTTGACGAGATACCTTAACCACATCAAAGATGACAATTGACCTATCAGTCGCTAGTTAAATAGCGTATCTGTGGACTTACGCACGTTGATTTGGTGGGCGTTGAATGCTTTGTTTATACAAATGAATACTCAATATTTGTACGCCGTGATGCGGGAGAATTAAAGTATGATGGCGGGGGGGGGGGAGAGAGGTGTAAAATGTGTATATGACACTGAGAGTCAAATAATGTTTTATTGAGCAAATGAATACCATGATTACAATATTTTACTAAAATTATGTTAAGTAGTGTGACGAACAGAAAATGACGAAATATGATCCTTTTTATGGTGTTCTAACAATTTTAAGGTTTTGATCTGCAAACAAGAAACCCCTCGTTGATGTACAAGCCAATTTGATGAGCTTTTAAAGCTTTGTCCTTTCTTTTCCCTTTTCTTTTCTCTTCTTTTCCATAACTTTTGTCGTAATTTATATATATATATCACTTCATGACGAACACTTCTGGTTAGTAACTTTTTACATACATAACTCTTTTTTTTGTAAAGAATCCTTAGTTTAAATGTTGAATTTTGATAGGCTGCACTGGAAAAGATCTGTTTGTAAGAGGGATGTCTCTCTACAATAACCGCCGTTTTGGCTTGGCTCTACAGACTTTAAGAGATGCTCTTGATTGTTATGATCTTTCTACACGTGATGCTTGGAAGGCACAATACTATATTTACGTGATCCACTTGAAAGGTTATGGCACTCCTGTTGATTATAATCTAGCTGAGGACTGGCTCATGGAACATGCAAATGGAGGCAGTATATATTCACTTTTTGAAGTAGGTTCGGTTTACATGCAAAATAAACGTTGCCAACACGAAGAAGAGTCGGGCCGCGAATACGTGTTAGAATCAGCTGAAAAAGGAAACATAGACGCAGAGTTGTTTTTAGGCTCTTTTTATCAAAAATATGGTATTCACCGCGATTTAGAAAAGTCATTATATTGGCTCAAACGCGCTGCCGTTGTTGACAACAGAAAAGGTGTAGAAATTCCCCTGTGCTTTAAAGCTCACTATTTGATTGGACTTGTTTATAAGCGTGGACTGGGTGTTCCTGTCGATCTTAAGTTGGCTTTGCACTGGTTCGAAAAATCTTCAAAAGGCAATAATGGATTAGGAAGACTGGAAAAAGGCTTGATAGACTACTTCAGCGGTTCATTTGGTCCAGTTGAAGAAAAAGCGGGTATGGAGTGGCTGAAAAAACTAGCAGACAAGGGTTGTGCGTACGCACAGGCTGAGCTCGGTAAACGCTTTTGTCAAGCTTCCTCAAGCTTTTGTGACTATAAAGAAGCAATGTACTGGTTCCGAAAAGCGGTAGATAGCACCGGCAATAGCACTGCTCAACATGGAATAGGAATAATGTACAAAAGAGGCTGGGGCGTTGAAATAAATTATAACACTGCTGTATCATGGTTTAAAGAAGCTGCAGATGGGGATGATTCAAATGGACAGTTTGCTTTGGGTAAAATGTATACTGAAGGCAATGGTCTAAAAGAAAACTGGCGTAAAGGTGTATATTGGTACAAAAAGGCCATAGAAAATGATAATAATCCAGAGGCTTTGTATTTTCTTTCACAATGCTACTATAGGGGTTACATAGATGAAGGTATCCCAAAGAACACCAGATTAGGGTTGGAATTACTTACAAGTTCGGCTGAGCAAGGATTTGGAAGGGCTCAAAAAAGATTTCGTTTGCTATATGGAAAAAGAAAGTTGACAAGGACGAATTCCAGTGGAGCGTTGGCGTTGTTTAAAAATTCTATTATTATAAATGATGCAAGTAGTGTTTCTTTATACAACATTGGAAAGATGTTTTTTAGTGGTTCTGGGGTTCAAAAGAATTTTGGGTTGGCTATCGAATACTATACCAAGTCAGCTAAAAAGGGCAACAAAGATGCCATCAGAGAATTGAAACAACTACAACTAATTGAAGATAGCAAGAAACTAATGGCTTCTGTAAACGAGGATCCCGATGATACGGATTCCATATTATCATCTTTAAAAATCACTTCCAATCATGTAAAAGAAACCCGTAGCACTATTCTACTCGAAACTGACGAGAGTCCCAAGTTTTTCCATGTAGAGAATACTAGTAGAACTACCGTGATCAATAACAATGACAAATGACCTCACTTTTTTTATGTGGAAAATACCAGAGCTATCAACGTCGATTTCAATCCAAGGATTTCCAATGCATCCTCTTCCTTAGGTAGCAGATATAGTCGTTAAACAAAAGTTAAAAAAAAATAACCGTATTATCCATAGCTCAACGGTCAGAAGGGTTTTTTAAATAATTAAGACGATTTTATTAATTTTAACATGCAGCAGCATGTACGTTAGTTGTATCATATTTGAATTTTTTTTTTTTTTTTTTAAAAAAAAAAAAGGCAACTGTAGTTCGTGTATAAATAATGCGATGTCCATATGAAAAGATAGTTACACGCTTGATGTTCTTTCCAAAAGGTGGGATGACGACCAACATGACAACGTTATTGTTTCACGTAAACAATACCTAATTTTACTGGTCTTTGGTGAGCATTGATTTTATTCTATTGCTTTGACGAGATACCTTAACCACATCAAAGATTACAATTGACCTATCAGTCGCTAGTTAAATAAGGTATCTGTGGACTTACGCACGTTGATTTGGTGGGCTTTGAATGCTTTGTTTATACAAATAAATACTTAATATTTGTACGCCGTGATGCGGGAGAATTAAAGTATGTTGGGGGCACAGAGAGGTGTAAGATGTGTATATGACACTGAGAGTCAAATAATGTTTTATTGAGCAAATGAATACCATGATTACAATATTTTACTAAAATTATGTTACGTAGTGTGATGAACAGAAAATGATGAAATATGATCCTTTTTATGGTGTTCTAACAATTTTAAGGTTTTGATCTGCAAACAAAAAACCCCTCGTTGATGTACAAGCCAATTTGATGAGCTTTTTAAGATTTGTCTTTTCTTTTCCCTTCCCTTTTCTCTTCTTTTCCATAACTTTTGTCATCATTTTTATATATATATCATAACATGACGAACACTTCTGGTTAGTAACTTTTTTCATACATAACTCTGTTTTTTTTTTGTAAAAAATCTTTAGTATAAATGTTGAATTTTAATAGGCTGTACTGGAAAAGATCTGTTTGAAAGAGGGATGTCACTCTACAATAACCGCCGTTTTGGCTTGGCTCTACAGACTTTAAGAGATGCTATTGATTCTTATGATCTTCCTACAAATGAAGCTGGGAGGGCAGAATACATTATTCACGTGATCCACTTGAAAGGTTATGGCACTTCTCTTGAATATAATCAAGCTGTGGATTGGCTCATGGAACATGCAAATGAAGGCTGTATACATGCCCTTTTTGAAGTAGGTTCGGTTTACATGCAAAATAAACGTTGCCAAAACGAAGAAGAGTTGGGCCGCGAATACGTGTTAGAATCAGCTGAAAAAGGAAACATAGCTGCACAGTTGTTTTTAGGCTCCTTTTATCAAAAATATGGTATTCACCGCGATTTTGAAAAGTCATTATATTGGCTTAAACAAGCTGCCGTTGTCGACAACAGAGAAGATGGGGACAGTCCCGAGTGCTTTAAAGCACACTATTTGATTGGACTTGTTTATAAACGTGGACTTGGTGTTCCTGTCGATCTGAAGTTGGCTTTGCACTGGTTCGAGAAATCTTCAAATGGTAATTATGGATTAGGAAGACTAGAAAAAGGTTTGATACGCTATTTCAGCGGAGCATTTGGTCCAATTGAAGAAAAAGCGGGTATGGAGTGGCTGCAAAAACTAGCAAACAATGGCAGTGCTTATGCACAGGCTGAGCTCGGTAAGCGCTTTTGTAAAAAGTTCACAGGATTTTGTGACTATAAAAAGGCAATGTATTGGTTCCAAAAAGCGGTAGATAGCACCGGCAATAGCACTGCTCAATATGGAATAGGATTAATGTACAAAAAAGGCTGGGGCGTTGAAATAAATTATAATACTGCTGTATCATGGTTTAAAAAAGCGGCAGATGAGGATAATTCAAATGGACAGTTTGCGTTGGGAAGAATGTATACTCAAGGCAAAGGTCTAAAACAGGACTGGCATGAAGGCGTAAATTGTTACAAAAAGTCTGTAGAAAATGGTGATAATCCAAAGGCTCAGTATCATCTTTCACAATGCTACTACAAGGGTCGAGGTACTCTAAAAGACACCAAATTGGGGTTGGAATTACTTACAAGTTCGGTGGAGCAAGGAAATTACAAGGCCCAAAAAAGGTTTAGTTCGCTATATGATAAAGGAGGGTTCACTAGGACGAATTCCAGTAAAGCGTTGGCGTTGTTTAAAAAGTCTATTTCTAATGATGCAAGCAGTTTTTCTTTATACAACATTGGATCGATGTTTGTTAGTGGTTCTGGGGTTCCAAAGAATTTTGGGTTGGCTATCGAGTACTATACCAAATCAGCTGAAATGGGCAACAAAAATGCCATCAGAGAATCGAAACGACTACAACTGATTGAAGATAGCAAGAAACTAATGGATTCTGTAAACGAGGATCCCGATGAAACGGATCTCATATTATCATCTTTAAAAAACACTTCCAATCAAGATGATGCTACAAAGAGAAAAATTGATAAAGCCATACTCTTTCATGTGGAAGACACCCGTAGCGCTATTCTACTTAAAACTGACGAGAGCCCCAAATTTTTCCATGTATGCAATACGAGAACTACCGTGATCAATAACAATGACGAAGGACCTCACTTTTTTCATGTAGAAAATACCAGAGCTATCAACGTCGATTTCAATCCAAGGATTTCCAACGCATTCTCTTTCTATCGCAGCGGAAATTACCAAATTAAATAAAAGTTCAAAAAAATAAACGTATTATCCATAGCCTAGCGGACAGAAGGGGGCTCTTTTTTATTATAAGTAAATAATTAAAGATAATTTTGCATACAGCAGTATTTATACGTTAGTTGTGTTGAATTTGATTTTTTCTTTTAAAAAAAATAGTAACTGCAGTTCGTGCATGAATAATATCAAGTCTTAATGGAAAAATGGTTATAAGCTTGACGTTCTTCCAAAAGGTAAAAGGACGAGCATCAAAGAATTCTTACTATTTCTTGTAAGCAATGTTTGGATCCGCTGATCATTGGTAATTGTTGGCTTTCTCTTATTGCTTTGATGGTATGTCTTAAACCGTTTCGGAATAGTTGGGTGCAGCGAATCATAGGAACCGGCAACTTTCCATTCGTGCACTTCTGGTTTTACGCCTATTTGCTACTGTAATTGCTTTTTTTCTCGTTTCTAAAACATTTTGAGCTTCTTTAGTAAACCGTACTTAAAATACGCAAAGGAGTTTATTCGTTAGTGCTATTAATAAGCCAAGTATTTCATATCTTTACGGTAATATATTTATGAAGCCTGGTAATTGGATGATGGTTTTATAATGATCAACAGATGCTGGTAAAGGGGGATCAGTGAAGTATAAATTGTATACCTTGACCAAATTAGAGTTTAAAATAGGCTGAGTAATTGTTAGTTCAATAAATAGTATCTGAGAACATGATCATCGTAAATTAATGGGCGTTAAATGCAAAATAAAAATGCTGATTATTTACGCCGTGATGCGGGATGATCAACGTATGATGAGAACGAGTGTGTGTGTGTGGGGGGGGGAAGAGAGAATGGGAGAGATGGGATGTGTGTAAACAACACGGAATCAAACATTGCTTTAACCAAACAAATGATAGTAAGGATCCCAATAAATTTTCATTCATGTTACATGTTGCAACGAACAGAAAGTGACGTAAAAAGATTCTTTTATTGGTGTTCTAATAATTTTAAGTTTTTTGATCTACAAGCAAGAACCTTCCCGCTGATGTACAGACGCCAATTTGATGGGCTTTATAAGCTTTTCCTTTTCTCCCTCACTCTTTTTTTTTTCTCATCTTTTCCTTAACTATTGTCTTCAGTTTTTACATCTCATAACATGACGAGCACTTTGGGTTAGTAACTTCTTACATATATAACTCGTTTTCTATTTGTAAAAAAACCTTAGTCTAAATGTTGAATTTTAATAGAATACAATGGAAGTCATCATTATCGAAAAGGAAAACCATTCTACAAAAGTTGCAATTATGAAGAGGCTCTAAAACATTTTGAGAAAGCTATTGTTTGTAATAATCTTTCTACAGGTGATGCTACCAAGGCACGATACTGTATTCGCGTGATGCACTTGAATGGTTATGGAACTTGTGTTGGTTTTAAGGAAGCTCTGGGTTGGTTCAAGGAAAAGGCAAATAATGGCCGTCTAGATGCCCTTTATGAATTGGGTTCGCTTTACATGAAGGGAAAATGTGTTCAAAAACAAATAGAATTGGGCCACAAGTACGTGTTAAAAGCCGCTAAAGAAGGAAACATAGATGCGCAGTTGTTCTTAGGCTCTTTTTATCAAAAGTATAGTGTTCACCGCGATTTTCAAAAGTCCTTATATTGGCTTAAACAAGCTACAGTTGTCGACAACAGAGACACTGTTGAACGTATTAAATGCTATAAAGCACACTATTTGATCGGACTTGTTTATAAACGCGGACTTGGTGTTCCCGTCGATCTTAAGTTGGCTTTGAGTTATTTTGAAATTTCTTCAGATGGTGATTATGGAATAGGTACACTGGAAAAAGGTCTGATAAACTACTTCAGCGGAACATTTGGCCCAAAACAAGAAGAAGAAGGTCTAAGATGGCTGCGAAAATTAGCACGCAAGGATAGTGCGTATGCACAGGCTGAACTTGGTGTTCGTCTTTGTCAAGATGGCTCAGAATTTCAAGACTATAAACAGGCAATGATATGGCTCAAAAAAGCGGTAGCTTATAACGGTAATACCATTGCTCAATGGGGAATTGGAAACATTTATAAACATGGCTGGGGTGTTGAAATCAATTATGCTGCTGCTATCGAATGGTACAAGAAGGCTGCAGATTGTGATGAGTCAAGAGCACAGCATGCGTTGGGAAAAATGTACGCTGAAGGCAAAGGCGTAACACAAGACTGGGAAAAAGCCGTATTCTGGTACGAAAAGGCTGTAGAAAATGATAATAATCCAGAGGCTCTGTATTATCTTTCACAATGCTACTACAGGGGTTACATGGATCAAGGTATTCCAAAAGACACCTTATTAGGGTTGAAATTACTTACAAGTTCGGCGGAGCAAGGATTTGACAAGGCCCAAAAAAGGTTTCGTTTGCTATATGATAAAGGAGGGTTTACAAGGACGAATTCCAGTGAAGCGTTGGCGTTGTTTAAAAAGTCTATTTTAAATGATGCAAGTAGTGTTTCTTTATACAACATTGGAAAGATGTTTTTCAGTGGTTCTGGGGTTCAAAAGAATTTTGGGTTGGCTATCGAGTACTATACCAAGTCAGATGAATGGGGATACAAAGATGCCACCAGAGAATTGAAACGACTACAACTAATTGAAGATAGCAAGAAACTAATGGCTTCTGTAAACGAGGATCCCGATGATACGGATTCCATATTATCATCTTTAAAAATCACTTCCAATCAAGATGATGCCTCGCAGAGAAAAATTGATAAAGCCATATTCTTGCATATGGAAGACACCCGTAGCGCTAAAATACTCGAAACTGACGAGAGTCCCAAGTTTTTCCATGTAGAGAATACGAGTAGAACTACTGTGATCAATAACAATGACGAAGGACCTCACTTTTTTCATGTGGAAAATATTAGAGCTATCAACTTCGATTTCAATCCAAGGATTTCCAATGCATCCTCTTTCTTAGGTAGCAGAAATAATCGTTAAACAAAAGTTCAAAAAAATAACCGTATTATCCATAGGTCAACGGTCAGAAGGGGTTTTTAAATAAATAAAGACGATTTTATTAATTTTAACATACAGCAGCATATAGTTGTATCATATTTGAATTTTTTTTTTTCTTAAAAAAAAAAAAAAAGGCAACTGTAGTTCGTGTATAAATAATGTTATGTCCCTATGGAAAGATTGTTACACGCTTGATGTTCTTTCCGAAAGGTGGGGTGGCATGGCATCATTATTGCTTTACGTCAGCAATGCTTGATTTCACTGGTCTTTGATGATTCTATTTGATAGAATATAGGCTATTAAACCGGAATTGTTGTTGGGACATGGAGATCCTATTACCAAGCATTTTCAAGTTGTTTTTTTTCTCTTTTGGGATTCTCTGATTAATAAAAATATCCCCCATTAATAAGGATGAAATGACTCCATCATGACAAAGTAAAGGTCTTCACATTAGTAATAGAAAATAAAAAAATAAAAAGTAAAAAAGTAACTGTTCTTATAAGGAAAGATCCTTGTGGATGGTTCTAGCGTATTTTTGTAGCTCGCAAGTAGTGTAGGTCAGATCAAGAAATACAGTGTGGTTGCATTACACCCCCTAAAAAAAAAAAAAAAGCAAAATTAAGCCAATCATGGGGTCGCAGGTCACAAAAAAAAAGTGATTTATAATTTTACGAATGGATTAATAAAAATGTTTGACAAATCATTTGGTAAGCTCGGTGATTCAAAAATGATATAAAAAGGGGCAACAAAAAATTAATTTTTTTTTTCTACAATTTCAGAATTACAATCTTATATTAACACACTACAAAAAAAACAAAAATGGCTTCTCGTATCGCAAGAAAAATTACCAAGGCAGTCTTATCTCGTGAACAAATGGATGGTGATGGCGCCAGAGGTAAAATACATACATCCATTCAAAAAAAAAAAAAAAAAAAAAAAAAAAAAATGCAACATCAATACTCATAATTATCAATCAACTTAGTGTATCGTAGTATCGGTAGTCATGCTCTTCGCAACTTGGATCCTTTCCTCATGCTGGATGAATTCGATGTACGCGCACCTGGTGGATTTCCTGACCACCCTCACAGAGGATTCGAAACAGTCACTTATATGTTAGACGGTGAATTCTTGCATGAAGATTTCAAGGGACATAAAGGACGTATCGGTCCTGGTGATTTACAATGGATGTCAGCAGCTAAGGGTATTGTACATGCAGAGATCCCCGCCAACAATAGCCGTGCACATGGCCTTCAATTATGGATCAATCTTTCCAGTGCTGACAAGTTATCAGAACCCAATTATCAAGAATACCCTAAAGAACAAGTCCTTCATGTCTCTCCCGAAGAAGGTATTGATATCAAGGTGATTGCAGGTGAATCTTATGGTGTTCAAAGTCCAGTCATGACACGAACCCCTACCATGTTTATCGATGTCAAATTGAAGAAGGGTAAGACAATGGAACAGGTCATTCCCAAGAACTATGCTGGCTTTATTTATACAGTGGCTGGTACTGCATTATTTGGTGGTGATCAACACAAGTCGGAAGCGCATCATACCTTGGTCTTGAGCGAGAATGGCGGTACTTATATTCCCGTGGAGTCTACATCGGATGATTGTCACTTTGTGGTCATTGCAGGTCAACCTATCAAGGAACCCATTGTTCAACACGGTCCCTTTGTGATGAATACCCAACAAGAAATTTATCAAGCCTTTGCTGATTATCAACATGGACGTAATGGATTTGAGGGTGCACCTGAGTGGACATCCTCTATTCGTGATCGATGGTCTTCTTAAAATATTATTATTATTATTATTATTAGAACAATAAAACAATTTATTACCCATTTTTTACTATTAACTACTACTATTTGCATTATTATCAGCATTGCGCTGTCTCCAACTCTTCCATTCTCTGGAAGGAGGTAACTCACCACCACTAGCAAGAATTTCTTGTCTCTCAATCTTTCGCTTTTTACGCACTTCGAATTTTTCCTTTTTGAGCTCATCGGAATCACAACGAGGACGATCCATGACGGACTTATATTTACCCAATCTTGATTCTTTGCCACCGCCACGAGGCACAGTTGCCATCCCAGTGGGACTAATCACACCACGATCCTTTACGAAGTCCAGCACGGTCTTTGTGGTATTATCAGACATCAGTACGGGATAATCACCTACTTTACATAAAAAGTTTTGATAGGTGATAGCACGAATCATTTGTCCAGTCCAGATCTCATGTAAATGAAGGTAGGTGCGATACGAGGCGGGTAAAGGGTCATACACTACATCGTTGAAAGAATAAGTCCACACAAGACCCTTGAATTCACAATCATACAACACCAAGGGGAGATCACTAGACATGGGGAAATCCGGTTTAGACGGCACTTTTTCGATATCCAGTAAATCACGCACGGTCTCTGCTGGTTCTAACCCTTGTCCCACCAAAAACAGAACAGACATCATAAATCGTACCTGATGCCAAAGGAAGGCTGTTCCCTTTAATTGTACCTCATAGAAATCAGTTCCTTCGCCTACCGTATCCGTTGTCGTGTGTTGTACAGGTTCAATCTTCATGGAGAGAATATGTCGTTCGTAACTGAGCACGTTTTTAGCAGGATCCATCTTACAAAAGTTGCGGAAATCATGTTTGCCTTCGAAATATGAACAGGCTGCACGCATGTGATCGATATTCATTTTGCCCTTGTTGAAGAAATACTTGTAGGTACGTGCTGTACAATGAAATCGTGCACTGAAATCTTCGGGTGCTGGTGCCCACGCAAGGACTCGAATGTCGTCAGGTAACATGCGGTTCATGGTGTCAATATAAGGGAACTCCTTCTCGGCCGGTAAGAGCTCAGGGTCTGTGTCCGTTGCAAGTTTCTTGGAACGCACATTGATGCCAATGACCTGACCTAATCCACTCACTCCTTTATCTGTTCTTCCACATCGTGTGTAATCACTGGACTCAATCGACTCCACCAGACGACAACTCAATAAAGCCTTGAACAGCATATCTTCAATTGTCGGTAAACGGTCCGGCTGGTTCTGGGTGGCATAACCACAATATTCCCAGCCAATATAGGCAACACGAAGAGCAATTTTACGGGTGGTATATTTCGACATGTCAAACGGACGCTTTTTGCTTTCGATTCTCTCTTTCTTTTTACTCTGCGTGGGTTTATGCACCAATTCCTCTTCGGCCATAGGTGAGTTTACCCTTGTTTCCAACTCATCAATGCGTGCTAGTAATTGCTCACGACTAAACTCGCTGTATTTCGAGGTCATCTTTACAGAGAGAGAGAAAAAAAAAAAAAAGGGAGAGTGAGTTAAATTCAACCCGACCCCTCTTTTTGTAATATAAAAAAAGTCGATAAGCCACAAAGAAAGCCACAAAGCAAAGGCCCGTAAATTATGCATTTTTTTTTTCTTCTTCTTCTTTTCTTCATTATACAATGTCAAACTTTGAAGAACAAGGCAAGGTGTTTTGGCAATGGCTGGAGAAGAATGGAACTGACTTGAATAAGGATATTGCTATCAAGGATTATCGTTCTGAGGGAGCGGGTCGTGGTATTGTTGCTACAAAGGATATCAAGGAAGGTGAACTCTTGTTCTCTTTACCCCGTTCCATTTTGCTCTCACACTTGACAACTTCCTTAAAGGACTTGTCTTGTGCCCAAGAATTTGCTTCTTTGCCTGGCTGGAGTCCACTTATTCTTTCCATCATGTATGAAAGTCAAAAACCTGACTCTTTCTGGAAACCTTATTTCGGTATGTCTTTTTTTTTTTTATTATTTTATTATATATACAGTGTGTATGGGTGTATGTACAACTCCGCACCGAAAATATTCGACACTTTTCACAAAAATTTGAGTTCCTTTAGTCATGCATTTTTTTAAAACCAAAAACTTGTTAATAAAAGGTATCTCAAATTCTACCAAACTTGACAAAATAGCAATATATATATATATTTTGTAAAAAGAAACTTTTTTATTTACGTTAATAAGTGGTATTTGAGCCACGAGCTTTTTTTACTGCCCGGCATCTATCGGGCATACTTTCTACAAGCTTATGACACACTTCATCCCCCAACAACTTCCATTCCTGATGAAGTGCAACCTCCAATTCATTAAGATTTTGAAGCTGGGCTCTTCTTTTAGCAATCCTTTGTCCCAGGAGGCGCCAAAGGTTCTCAATCGGATTCAAATCGGGACTTTGAGCGGGCCATCGCTCAAAGCCTGCAATCCCAGCCTTCTCTTTCCACCACCTCGTATATCCTCCTGTATGGCATGGGGCACCGTCTTCTTGGAAAATAAAGTCATGACCATATTTCTCTGTCAATTGTTCAAGCCAAGGGAGAAAGTTTTGACTTAAACAATTGACATATTTTTCTTGATCGACAGACCCTTTTAGTGTCACCAAAGGGCCCAAACCGCCTGCCCAAAAACATCCCCATACCATCACTGATCCCTTACCAAATTTAAATGTTGGTAAAACAAATCTATCCATATACCTTTCACCCTTCTTTCTAATAACTCTCACACCACCGTCGTTGTGCCTGAGTGCGAATCGCGACTCATCGGACCAGATTACCTTCTTCCAGTCATCTAATGTCCAATTCATCTTGTCGTCGACCCATTCTCTTCGCGTTTTTTTATGTCTAAGACTCAAAAACGGTTTTTTGGAAGGTCTGCAAGAATAAAAACCGTTTTTGCGAAGTGCATTCCTCAATGTCGTCAGGCTGATTGGATCGGTAGCCTTCGCAAGATTTTGCATATGAACACTTAAAGGTTCAAAGGAGTCCCTTCGAACTAAAAGCGTCAGGTGATGCTCAGCTCTTGCTGTCAGCTTTGCTGGTCTTCCTGGACGAGGTTGGACAGTCGTGATCCCTTCAGTTCGATACTTTTTTATAATCGTAACAACGGTTGTTCTAGGAACGCCCAATTCTTTGCTGATTTGGGTACCTGTCCATTTGGCATGCTCTGCCAAACCGCAAATGACTCCACGATCGAAATCTGAAAGTTCCTTGCTTTTTCTAGAGACTTTGTTAGTAATGTCAGTAAGTGGCATGATAAATTGTGTAATAAAATATGAAAGAATCGTTGAACGAAGAAAGAGTAGGTTTATTTATTTTTTTGGCTCAAAACGGAAGTGTCGAATATTTTATGTGCGGAGTTGTATATGTCTGCTAATATGCAGCAGATGTTTTGCCTCGTCAATTCTCAACACCCATGTTTTGGAACGAGACGGATTTGTTAGAGTTAAAGGGCACAGATATTGTGGCCAAGATTGGTAAGGAAGATGCCGAGGCAACCTATGAGCGAGATGTGAAGCCCTTTGTCGAGGTAAAGATACCTTTTTTTTTTTTGATTTGTTCGGTGGGCATGGAAACTGACATCCACAATAGAAATATTCAGACATCTTTGACAAGGAGATTCATAATTTGGAATTGTATCATACATGTGGTTCTTTAATCATGGCCTATAGTTTCAATGATGAGCTTCAAAAGGAAGAAGAGTCTGATGATGATGAAGAGGAAGAAGAAGAGGAGGAGGAGAATGTGTTGATTTCGATGGTACCTATGGCAGACATGTTGAACCACAAGACGGGATTCAATAACGCCCGCTTATTCCATGAACCCGAGAGTTTACAGATGCGAGCCATCAAGGATATTAAAGAGGGAGAGCAAATTTATAACACTTATGGTGATTTATGTAACGCAGATTTGTTACGTAAATATGGATTTGCAGATGATCAAAACGAATTTGATATTGTGGAGATTGATGGTCCCTTGGTCGTTGAGTCTTGTTGTCCTGATGCCCCCAAAGAACTTGTTGAACAAAAGGTAAAAAAAAAAAAAAGAGAGAGAGAGAGAGAGAAGAGGATGTATTGCTAAAATAGCCTACATTTTTATTTAGATTGATTTTTTGATGGAGGAAGGCGTATTTGACGAGTAACAACTGCGCACATTAACAAAAAAAAATCATTTACACGATCGCTCATTGGTACCTTTTTATTTTATTGAATTTAAAAATAGATGTTTTGTAATTGATTCCGACCACGAAATTCCACCCGAATTGATTGTTTCAGGTAAAAAAGAAATCATGATTTGACTCACCCTAAAGAATATTAATGATTTTAATCGTATATAGTGCATGTGTTGCTATCCTCCGCCGACGAGTTTGAAACAATGGTAGAGAAACAAAAGTTACCCAAGCCAAAATTAACGGCCTCGGTCAAGAAAGTAATCGAGCACATTCTTCACAAGCGATTGGAAGAAAGATATCCCACCACGATGCAGGTAAAAAAAAAAAAAGATAGGTATTTGTTATTGATTATCTGAGACATAAAATATGTTTAGGAGGATGAGGCTGAATTGGGAGAATTAAAGGAAATGAGTAATAAGCGAAATGCGCTATTGGTTCGTGTGGGAGAGAAAAAGATTTTACAGCAAACACTAGATGCATTCAAATCTTTACCCGTGGCTCTTGATAAGAAGCGTCCTTCCTCTCAACTTGACAACAAACAACAAAAAAAGTCCAAAAAATAATTTCTCCAAATTTGTAAATTAAACTTGTGTGAATTCTAAAAAAGAAAATATAACTATATTTAGACATAAAAAAAAATGTTATTCTTTGCGTGGGTATAAAATCGTGTATGTTTTTTATCATTCTTCTTTCTCTCCCTCTTTTTTTTTTCTTTAAACTTTTTTTTTTGTATGATTGCCATCTCCTCTATTCCAATTACTGATTTCCAGCCCAAAAAGAGTGTTTCTATTGGAGTCAAAGAGAACGACGACCACTTGATTGCGTATACAGCCTACAACGTAAAGACCTTACTCGAATGCTCCAAAGAAAAGATTTACTATCAACAAAAACTATTACCTAACCTGTTTGTGTTTGTCAAGCATGTGTTTCGTCATTGTAACCTGACACCAACCATTCTTGTGATTGCCTTGATCTATCTTAAACGGCTTAAACGGGCCCTCCCCGCCCAATCCCAAGGAGGTAAAAAAAAGATTTTATCTACCTAATAAAAAAAAAAAAAAAAATGCAATGTACTAATAAAAGAAATCTCCCTCAGAATTTGATACGCCGTATAAAATGTTTATTGCTGCCGTGATTTTAGCCTCTAAATTCATAGAGGACACCAATGCAATCGCTCATTCGATCTATCGCCTTGTATCTCCGCTCTATCCTGCCAAGGAAATTAACGAAATGGAAAGAAGCTTTTTAGGGGTTGTTAAGGTAAGATTATTTTATTTTCCCCATATTACATCATTTCCCTTTTTTTTTTTTTTTCTAAAAAGTCAAATTAACTCACACACATACGTCAATCCATAGTACAACTTGTTTGTCAGTTCAGATCAGGTGCATCAGTTCGTGCAAGAACACAAGGACATACTTCAACTATCTTAAAAAACACCTTTTTCATTATTTATTTATACCCTCTCTCCCCCTTTTGTAAATAAAAAAAAACATTTCTCTTCATATTTAAAAAAAAAAAACTCTTGGCAAATGGAAATGGTATACCTTTTACCCGTTTCCATGACAACTTGCTGTAGCACGGGCCCTTGAAGAGAGCAGTCACGTTTTGGCTGCTCTCGCTCTCTCTCTCACACACACACACATTTACACACACACGCACAATACACACAAATTTTTTATTTCACGCTCCTCCTCCCCCTACTACATCATGTACATTACAAACTGGGAAGAATTCCAAAAAGCTGCTGAAGAATTATACATTGCTTCCCCCGAATTGGTAACTAGTTCAACTAAAAAAACATGCGACCCTTGAACGAAAAAAAAAAGGGAACTAAAATAAAACTGTAGACTCGTTATGTCCATACCTTTCATCGTTCTGATGGAGACCTTGTCTTGAAAGTCACAGATGATAGAACCGTAATGTATACCTTTTGGTTTATTCTCTCAGTTCTAGTCGCATCTAACACGTCCCTTCCTACCGTCTTACAATAGAACCTGAAATACAAGACAAACCAGATGACCGATTTGAAAAAGTTCATCAGTTTGAATAACTCCTTGATGCTTAACATGATGAACAAACAACCCACCGGTAAGTGTCAGTGTGTGTGAACAGGAGAGAGAAGAAAGTTATTCAAACTTTAGTCATAGATGAGGACACAGTGATACCCGATGCTATTCCAGCGGCAGTCAAAACAATCGTTCCAGACGTAAAGGCTGCTTCACCCAAGCAAACACCAAAGGGAAAGAAGGGTGGTAAAAAGAGAAGATGATAACAACAATACAAAAAAAAAAATAAAGGGAAAGAGTATCTTTTTAAATATTTATGGGGTTTCTTTTTTTTATTGTTTTACAAAAAGAGAGATAATAAATTATTTATTGTTGGTAAGAGAAGACGTTCTTCAAGTCTAAAAAAAAAAAAAAAAGGGTGAGTAAATGGAGGCTTATAATGAGTCCTCAGAAAAAAAAAAAAAAAAAACTTACAACCATCTTGTTGAGAGAGACGGTTAAGAGCATCATCGACCTCAGCTTCCTTACGGATGAAACCACAGAAAGCATAAGTGGCAAAAGAGCTGGTGGCACGACCCTCAGCATCAACATCGGCAATGTTAATTTGGACGGAAGCGTGGTCCTTGGCAGTGATGAGACGGTTGGTGGCAGAACTATTATTTTTTTTTTTTAGTCAATTGTGTTCATTCTGTGTTCATGCAAATGCCCATTTACCACTTGCGAGGAATGTAAAGATCGATGACTTGGCCTTCAGAGTTCTCCATTTTGGTTTATTGTTGTTGTAAAAGAGAAAGAATTCCTAAATACACTTTTTCAAAATAATAGTAAAAACTTTTTTTCCTTGCTCCGTACCGCCAAGCCACCAAATAAATTTTATTTTTTTTTCCAAGCAGACAACTCCGAAACTCTCTCTCTCTCTCTCTCTCTCTCTCTCTCTTGTTACCCGCGCGCACAATGCATATATTTTTTAATGAATATTTTATGTGTATATTAAAATTAATAAATAAAAAGTTAACGTTGTAGACAGGATAAACAAAACACTTGATCCATTGACATGGAATAACTACTCCAATCATACGTTAGTACTCTACTATACAAAACACACACACACACACGTACTCTATCACGGAACAAGTACTGCAAAAGACAGACTGACAGGCTGCACACGACGCTAGACATTGACTACAAAAAGCACCCTCACATTGTGCACACGCATCGTACACACTGCCATTCTGACATTTACAACACTTGCTTGTCTTTGTTGTCGGTAGCGGCACAGTATTAAAGTATTCGTACGACGGTTCTGCTATCACTCTTTGCGTTCTTGGTTGTTGCGCCTTCATTAACAGTGCAAACGTATTTTGTGCTATCCTAACCCATGAGTTTCCTCTCTCTTTTTTTTTTCTCTGCACAATAAGAATTCTTTTACCTGCTTGTTGCTTTTGAATAGGGTCTTCTTTTATCTTTTGTCGTAATACATTAGCGAAACTACTGTCATCAAGTCGACGTTTGGTCATTTTTTTTCTTGTTATTGAATGAAGAGAGCAGAAAAAGAAAGGGGAGAAAAATTAAAAAAAAAAAAAATGTGACCCAATCAAAAATAGCATCCAGGAGACAAAACGCGTCGCGTCCAAAGTGCATTCTCGCGTATGTGTTCAGGGGGGGGGGCAGGATGTCTTTCTGAATTGAAGTACTCAAAGCGTGTATTCACATGATAATGTACAGTCTGCTTCTACAACACAATGCTTATTGATGGAGATATATAAAATGGCCTTTATTAGCATAAACGTAAATTGTTGTAGTGATCATTTTGAATGACGCTTTTCTTTTTTTTTATCTGTAGTCCAAAAGAAAAAAGAAGTTAAAGCTTCATGATAAACTAATCATAGATTAATACAAGACTCTGGTATCTTTCTTTGCATCTTTTGGCTGCGGTACTGTTTGAGCGAATGGCCTACTAACTTGTAAATTTAATATGCATTTTTCTTGATAAATAACAAATGAAACGTGGATGAGAGTTTTTTTCTTTTCTTTTTGAAAGGCTAATAAAATATCTTGTGGGCATTTTACAATAAAGCTTTTAATTTTGTTCTTATCTTCATGTTGGAAATTTTTTATTAATAGTACATCATATCCTTGTTTTTTCGTCTCGTTGATTAAATCATGAACGTCAAAAAAATGAGCCAAACATTTCTGTTAAACACCGTAAAGATTAACAACAATTTTGACCGTATCCGTGACGTATACGGTCATTTTTTTTTTTTTTTTTTTTTTTTTTACTATTCTGTATGTTGGATGGGCATGAATGTCGTTTTAATGTCCTACAAATTACTCTTTTTCATCTAAATCTTCTGTTAAACAATAAAATGTAGCATATTCTGTCAGTAACTTTAGCTTTCCTGTTGTGAATTATTATATGTGGTATTTTCGCGTCTGTGGAGGTGGGCTTAATATCTATTTGTAAATCTTCTCCTACTTTATTGTCAGTGTTTATTGAAACATAATTCACTTGTTCTCTTTTCCCGGCTTATATATTCTGATACTATTGTTTGAGATAAGATGTAAATAAAGCTCGCTATTGAGGTAGATGTTTATAAAATGACACATGTAAATGAAATATGTTAATCGCCTACTTATAATTTTGATTACATTAATATCATTTTTCCATTTATAATAATCTCATTACCAATTAATGGGTTGCACTTTATTGAATTTGGTCTTTATTTTATACTTCTAATATTGTTTTTTTAAATTACATCTTAATATCCTTTGTTATTTGTACAAATCCTTTTCGTAAAATAAATAAATCAAACATACGAAATAAACACAGCGGTTTAACAATACAAGAGTGTGATATTTTTTTGCAAAAGCAACGGGCGTTAAAGATTCTTGAAAGTATGAGATAGAACCCTGAACAATTCAATTAAATCCGTCGATATATACGGTCAAAAATGGATCCTATCTGCAAAAGTAATATATAAATGGGCCGTACCTGTTGCAGATACAGTGAATTAAAGACATTATCTGCCACGGATACAGTGGAAAAACTTACGGGTCTCTTAGGGACAGCCTAATTTTCTTAGGGACAGCCAGGTTGCGCGTAGTTGTAATGTTGGATTATGATACTTTAATAGACACGGAGAGGTCAATATAACTTATCGTCTTGAAGTAGATACAATTTATTATAACCGGAATATGGTTAGCCAGTATGTGTGTGTCATAGCTTACTTTCAGCTTCTCATTTAGCCTATACCTCAATAATTCTGCGTAAGATTAAGATTAAACGAGCTTAAAGGCGAAAGAGTGATGATAGAATTGTCAAAACAAGTATGAATCATTTAATATGCATTTATTCATACTTATCACATTTTTTTATTATTATATATTCTTGTTTCCTAGTCTAAAGAACAGCCAACCAACATATCTTACGTTGGGACCACGTACACTTTGGTTGTCCTTAAGGAAAAATTGGCTGTCCCTAAGAAAAGCGAAAAACTTACCCTCTACGTGACAGGTACTGGTATTATTCTATCGGTTCCCATTTGTGTTGGACAACAGACCTTTAGTTCTTCCCATTTGAAATCAAAATCTTTTTTGGTTCGCTCATTCGCTCATGATATGTACCTCTCAAGATCACACGAGCCTCAACTCGCTTGATTTTTCTCTCTTTAAAAGGAATGCTTAATGATCAGATTGGGAATGATGGGTGTCTCTTTAAGACTTTAGTAGGTGCCAGTAACAGAAAAGAAATTGGACTTTTCCAAAAAAAAAAAAAACTTTGCTTCGTTTGTTTTGCCATCGTCCCGCTCAGCATCATATTCGACATCAGGCTTGTTGTAAATATTGTTGTTGCGTGCGATTTCAGTGTTTGAGCTGATAATTGTAACCGTCTTGAGTTGGTAACCATCCAGCATTTAAATTCGTCTTAAGCTATGGTAAGTTTGTTAGTATTCAATTCGAAAATTACAGGTGCAGCATTAAAATTAAAAGTTCCCTTAAATAGATAAAGTGCAGATCTCCTATTGTTTGTGTTCACTTTTTAAAATTGCTTACTAAAGCATTTGACAGAAATATTTATATACATAAAAAAATAAGGTATCTAAACAAATGTTGAAACATCGTCACATGGCTAAAAAAAGTATAACATCCCTGAGTGTAAAATACACACTAGCTTCAAGCATGTTGTATTAGCACAAGAAAAGCTTCATTTTGATATTGACATTGCGCTAGTACATCGGGGTCCAAAATCTGTGTAGAGAGCTTGCTGATCGGCCATAAAGTGTCATCGGTGTAGACATATCCCCAATAATAATAATCATTTGTTTCTTTTGGTAATATGTAAACTAGAACGAAAAAAAAAACAAAATGATGCAGGAAACCACATTTCGATTGTTGGCATCCTAATAATCAAATACACTTCAAACGAGGCTTTTGATCACATCTCACTAGTTCATTATAAATGTACTTTTCCGTTTTTTTTTTTTAAAAAAAAATCCATGTTTGCGTTGGTATCCCCCATCTTATCCTCTACTCAACGGCTGTAAATGATTATCTTATTTTTATCCATACAATCTCAGAGTCGTTTGTGTAATTAATTTTAGAACCACGGTAAGCTGTCATCATCTACACTATCGGTTCACTCAAGCTACATCAATTCTTTTCTTTTGATCCAGTTCAGTTCTTCAGCTGTGTTGTTAGGGTTATTGCTGCATTTCCTTACTCCGTTGTCATAATTACTAGAAGATACACGAAAAAAAACAGTGTCGATAAGTTGCACTAAAGGATCTATGTCAATACTTGAAAGTATGTTGTATGCTGGTGTGAGACTCTGCCTAATCGCTTTAATTTTTGCTTCTACCATGTGTTTTAGCAGCAAGCGAGTCTTCGTACTCTCGAAAATAGGTATTACAGTCAACTTAGATTCAATGAAAGTCACACGTCATAATGAGAGGTATGCAGTGATAGTAAAATGATATAATAAGGGATGAGTTAAAATGCGAAGAAAAACAAAAATTAAATAAAGAAAATTAAATGATAAGAAAATTGGCTGAGTTCACGTTGTGCTGGTTGATATAGGTGTGCGCGATACCAATGATAGTACAGACAACCAGATTCGGGATAAAAGGTGTGGAATCAAAAATAAAACTCCAGTAATGTTTCCAAATACCTTCAAGGACAGAGCCAAAAAAGAAAAAAGAAAAATTGGGGGTGGTTTGAAGATGGAACATTTTACGACTGGGGAAGTTGAACGTGTATATACTAGATAGGACCTCAGACGGTTTAAGTAAGTATAAGGCAGGTAATTGCGGATGTAGATATGTGAAGGATCGTTTTCAAATCTTCCAAACACGCTGACAAGAGACAAACATATGCTCGGGGGTAATGAGAACTTGCAGAGCATAACGGGCAGAGATGAGAATTTGCTAGCTGTGGGAGATATATATGCATGGTGAGGGTCGTATTAACCTTATTATGCAGAATTTGAAACCAGATGTTTTTAGTACGAAAGTTCAACCAACTACACCAAAAGGCTTTCCAAGTAGAACCGGTGTAACGACTGACAGACGTAACTCGCTGAGGAGTGCGGTGCACCATTTCCTCCCGGAAGGACTTGGTTGAAATTTGATTGATTAATAAAGTGTATCGAAAAAAATCAGTCAATGGTTCAGTTTCAATCGACCCGAATAAGTGACTGTTGGGTGTCAATAGTCGCAGAGCAAACGGATACAGTTAGGCTAAATCAAGCAGAAGACTTTGATGAGAGCGAAATCCGAGAATGGGATATTTTATCTCTGGATCTTGATGAGCGCGCCGAATTAGATGGAAGTGAGTACTGTCGAAAGTATAGAAGTGTTTTACTTGAACCTTATTGTATACTTTGGTTTTTAAGGGACATTAATCACTGGATGTAGACCAAATATTGTTAATTGGAAGCTCTAATACTACCGCTATTGGTAATTGAAATTCTGGATGATTATGTGGATCAGGAAGAGTATTGATGCAGCTAATGATAGAGCGTATAGGTGAGAAGAGATTTAATTTCGAGGGAACTTGGGAGCGTAATTGATTTGAAAACAAAACAAAATTGGAGTGTAGCACAAGGGGAGACGAAGTTGATGAGGACTGGCCAGCATCCAAAGTTGAGGCAGGATTCATTGTACTAGAGATGACGTGCCGTAACCAAAATACCGCCATATCCAAAGAATCGATAATCTGATCTGGGGTTTGGTTGAGAAGAGGTTTAACCCAACGAAGTTGTAAAGCCTGATGTTGAATAACTGGATCTAATACACCTAGTCCACCCTCACCAATCGGGCGTTTGAGTTGGGCCACCGAAAACCTGCCGATTTTCTTCGAGTAATTCATAAAGTTACCTATCTTACCGTCCAGCTTGTTAAAAAAAAACCTTTGAAGGGTTTAACAACCGCAAAGGGTACCATAGTTTGGAAAGGATTTAAGTGTTGGTGACAGTGGCTCTTCCCCGAAAAGATAAACCCCGGATAAAATGAGGACCAAAACCTTTATCGATCATTTCCAGCAATAGGGTTTCGACGTATTTAGACAGGCAACTTTTTTTCTTCTTCTGCCAGTAAAGCTTACGTAGACACGGCTAATTAAAAACGTAAGTACCATATAAAAATGTAAAAAGAAGATACCCTACCCAGATTATTTCTGTAACGCGCTATAAACACAAGTCGATGCATATTTACTGGGTTGCTCAACATTTAAACTGTAAAAGTACTACAACCCGATAATTCCTGCATTCGGCCATGGTTCAGTCAGCCCTAAAATCGCTTGCTTGTTTTAAATTAGCAAGTCTTTCTAACGTTGACGCATTTGGTCATCGTATAAAAAGTGAGTTGCTCGTGGTTGTTGGTAACAAAAAACGAGAGAAAAGGCTTTCCATGGTTTTAGAAGGCTGTGTGATACCCTGTGACTGGATTCTTTCCAAACCTGGGGTGCGCGTTGACACTGGCCTTTTCCTTTTTTTTTTATTCTTTCCAACAAACAGACAACAAATGCTGTATTAACCTTTCCTGATGTCATGCCACGTTTGAACCCAGGTTACCATGTAACTATTCAAACACGGTACTTGATGTTTATTTTATTCTAAGCTTTCCAATCAATCTGTACAGTTCTAAATTATTGACACCGTCCCCCAGCTACCAGCTACAAAGTTTTGGTTTCGATGGAGACTTGCTTTGACTCCGTATCAGTGTAGCATGAATTTGAAATCGTCTTTTGCTGAATTTTTTGACAATCAGAACAGTGGATCAAAGCAGCGTGGTATTGGGATCACTGCCTTGAAAGTGAGTTCAGAAAATGTTTGAGCAAATGGTTATCTGTACAACCAACATATTCTCATGATAGAGAACCCGTCCTTTGGGAAGTAAAACTGGACGTCAATTTGGAATTGACGATAGGAATTGACAATAATTGCCATAGCTTATCCGCAGACGATAAAAGTGATGGGTTACGAAATTTTACTGGGGATTATGAAGAATTGAACGACGGCTTCTCTATAACAATAGCTATAATCGACAAAGGACAGCAGAAAGCAGCCTTAAAGACAAAGTCAAAAAGTATTAGCCAGATCGAAAATACAGAAGTAAAAGCAAATAGTGGATCTGTGTTGCATAAAGAAACAGTTTTTGGTGTACAAAAAAAAAGGGGGTATCTCGTGGATGATCGTAAAAATGTGTTAGAAAGGTGATGGTGTATCAACATAAATAAAAGTCTACGGCTATTGTAAGTCTGTTTCACAATGTTTAGATAATTAATGGGAGAGGATATTTGTTCGAGGATATAAAAGATTTGTGTGATGATTCTGTGTGAAGATGAGACGCCTATAGGGCACGAGGTAGATCATTTAATATACGGCATCTGAATGTGTATGGAGAGCTAGAAGCCAGCAATTGCCACGTCATATCGTCATCATCTCAAACGGGAGCAGGATTTATGTTTGCAAAAGAGGTGAGGGGTTAGTGTTTGTTTCTCTATATCAGAGTTGTACCTCTGCTCTGGCCTTGTGCTAAAGAGGAGTATATTCGATAGGGGACAGTGTATGCTTTTCCTTTCGACACTGGACCCATATTTCTTTATTCATTTGGAGAACTGTAGCGTTGGTCAAATGTAAAGCAAGTTTTTATTTACATATACAAAGCAGAAATCTTTATTTATAAAACCTTACACTAAATGTTGTGTAGACAGCTACGTTCTTACTTTGCTAAGATATAAATATGAAATTACTGTTTCTGTTGCAGTCGTATTCATCAGATCCTTCTATTAGCAACCCTAAAAGTCTGTACTCAATTTTTTTTTTTTTTATTTAAAAAAAAATTGAGAATGATCAATACTGTTCATAAAGAAATAATTGAGAAATTCGAGATATAAAATAACGAATTAAGAATGAAAATAAGAAATTTGACGAAGTAAAATTATCAAACTGCAAAAATAAATTAAAGTCTTATACAATAAATTGTGTTCCTTATATGCATATTCAGGGCTGGCTGAATATCAATCGTTAGAGTGAAACCTGTCAAATATACAATAGGCGTATTGTCAATTAAAGATCGAGCAACTCATGGCACCTTCGTGAATCTTGTTATTGACGAGCGATCATATCATTGGATTGTATTATCTGAAATAAATGTATGGCTATGGTTTTCTATATATTGATGAGTAATCAATGCGTAGTAAATAGAGTGTAATAGCATGTATTTAATTTAAAGCGCAATGCAATATGATTTATAGAAAGGTTTTTATCAAAGAAGAAAAAAAGAATTGATGATAGAGTTATATCTATATATAAGCTCGATCACAACAATGATTCCTCTCTCTCGTTTAGGTATGAAAATAAGTAACATATGGACAGACCTCATTCAATAACAGACCCTTATGCAAAACTTTTTTTTTTTTTGGTGACTATGAGTTATCCAACAATCCAACTATTTTACAGCAATTTCTAATGATAAACTTGACAGGTGTGAGCTGTCAACCAATGGAGAAAATAATACTGATATGGTACCATACGAAATATAGTGTAGACTGTTAAATCTTTAAGTAGCAAGAATTAATATACCACCAGTAAGGGAAGTTTTACTCATAACCCATCGTATCAAATATTTTTAGCATTCATGTGTTTTAAATAATCAAAAGTTATTTAATAATATACTTGTTGATTTTGTACACATAAATCCAGTATCATTTGAAACATGGATGATGTAGCATAGCACCAGACCATTTCCATCACTTCAAATATCCTTGTCGGCCTTTTATTTTTTTGATCCTTTTACTTCGCACTTATTTTATAAACATACGCACGGTGGTTCAATATTTGAAGTGAAAAATTTAAAAACAAAGCAGGTTGAATAATTCAATTTATATTGATAATCCCCCCCCCCCTATTTCACTGTATACATGGCAGGTTACCTTTTGACAAAGTGTAATGTGAATTGTACTGGGTTTATCTTTAGGTGACTTTACCTTCATAATGACTAGTCATGAAAAGAGACGTATATGTCTATAAAAAAGCCATAAATAATAGCAAACCCCATACAGCAATAGGCTATATGTATTGAATATGCTTTTTTAAAAAAAAGCTACATTGTGCAGAAAATTAGTGAAATAACAAACACGAAGGGAAGTAAGTAGTAGACAAAATAAATTTTGTCTGCCTGAGGCTATTCAAATTTTAAAAGTCATGTCAAGCCACCCGACTGGGCAAACTGCATTCTCTCGCTCAATACGCGACTCTCAAAAGAGTAAAAAAATCTGGGGACCGGGAAAAGGCTGGATTGCAATGAAAAGAAGGGCAGTAAGGAATAAAAAAAATCTGAGGGGAGTGGGGGGGCAGAAAAAGGCTGGGTTACAACTACAAGAAGGGCAGTAAAGAGTAAAAGATCTGAGTACAATTTTCAAGCATGAAAAGGCTGGGTTGCGTAACTCATTTCTCCTAAATAAGCAAGGCTTTACTCGTTGAACAAATTTCTTGAGCTTGTTACCAATTTTATAACCACTTACTTTTTATATGCGTATACAAATGCGTTATTAGTATATAATGCTTTCAGTTAGATCACCAATAGCTTTTTTAGCATGTACTCAGACACTCTTTTTATGTCTAGCTGTATGAAGGTAAAGTGACCATTTCTCCCTTTAAAATAAGTTCATCATTTACATCAGAACGTCCATCACAGACCCGAAATACTAAAAAGAAAAAATCAGGCACAATGATAGACACAGGTACAGTGTCGTGATTGAGGCTATATATTTAATATATGACTCGATCTACACTTCTTAAATCTTCAATTTGATAATCCTAAATATATCTTTTATCGAAACTTTACATTAAATACTGATCATTTACTTTATGTATAGGCTTGATCTCATATCATCCTTCATACAAGTATAAGGCATACTCATTTAAAAAATAACATTAATATGAAAATATGTGAAGGTTACATTAGCCACAATGAGGTGCCACAGCTACCTTTATTAAGAATTACAATTTCCCCTGAACAGTGTGCTACAAGATATACACAGTTTAAGGATGAATGTTATTGTTATTGACATCTCATTATGGTCTTTCTTTACGGGATCATTATATCCGAGTACGATTGTCATCAGCCTGTCTGTTATTAATGTCTGAAATTATGTCCATATTAAAGACCCCCTTTTATTTGTTTAAATCTTCATCAATTTCCACATACGGCCACTTTAAAATTTCTGGGTCATTTAGGATCGGGTACCTTTTGGCTGTCCCAAAGAGCTGGATTTTTTCAAGAGGCCCTGTTACACGCACTGGAAATATACCAAATATAAATTTCTTATATGCCACTTGTCGGATTGTGTCAGTCATTCACGGTTGAGATAAGTCTTTTAAAACTATTTTATCAGACTCATAAAACCCCTCCCCCAAAGTTTTGTTCTTTTGGGTATTGTGATACCTTTAAATTCCTGCTCAACACCCTGTTACATAGTCAGACGCGTGCCTTTTTTTTTTTTTTTTTGTTTCCATTACTGCTCAAAAAAATATTTTCTGTACTGAGCTCGTAAACGTTCATTCTCGATAGGTTGAGTATGAGAACCCCCCTCCCCATTTTCGGCAGTTCTTACTTTAATATGATAAGGACAATTAAATTTGCAATTGTCCTTTTAAAACGTTGACGATTAGTGTCTCAAAGCTATTTTCGAGGGCAAAGTTTTTAATAAAATTGGTAGTGATTTCCTTGGTGACGTTGGGTAGTAACGTTGGCAAAGGAGCAAACACTTTCAAAAGTTTCAAGTCAATATTTATGTTAATTACCAGAGAAAAGAGTTTGTTTTATTTTTACAGAGTGTAAGGCAATTAAGGGACAGCCACTACAGCATGTGATCTCTTAGGAACAGCCAATAGGTTTCCGATTCTAGGCTGTGACTACGCTCACTTTGGCTGTATCTAAGTGTAACTTCTGGCATAACATCTCCCCGGAGGGAGGGCGTAAAATAAGCTCACTGTTTACTTTGCGAAATATCTTTTTTTTTTACTCTTGCTAGAGGATAACAACATCAACTAAATATGACGTTTAAAGCAAACTTTTCCCAGCCGTTTTTAGAAGAGACTCAGTGTGTTCATCATAAAAAGTTGAGGATACTTTACACCACTTTCTATATGACTGTCCCACTAAACAAGCTATCTGGCTTCAGTGTTTGTCTACCTTCTTTCCAAACGTAACAATCGTACCTGGTCGAATACTATCCATTCTCCTTGCGCTTGACTTCGGTGATTTACACAACACAAGATCTCCTGTTGCCACTTCGTTGACGTTTATATCCGTTATAGGTTGTATATTGCAAGGGATCTGGAGATCCCATTGGCAACTAGTGTTTGACGATCAACCTTTCACTACCACCACGGTACTAACACGCTGCCTGTCTATCGTATGGCAATTACACTTTCAATCGCTGGCTGATTAGTAGTACATTATTTGCCTTTAAGAAATACGTCGACCGTTTTATTTGTCCTCATTGTCACCCCTTGACATTATGCTTTGTTACTTTACAAAAAAACTATTCAATTATAAAAATCTCACCCCCCTTTTAGTCCCACCGGGACATTAAATAAAATTTTGAAAGACAGCTGCGCTGCCTTTCCCTACAAAAAAAAAAGTTCATCATAAAAAGTCTACGGAAAGCTGCAAAACCTTGACCTTAACATTGGTCAGTCAATGGCGAAGGGAAATTCTATAAAAAGAAAAGAAACTTACAGAAATACGAAAACAATCACTATATCGTAAAGCCTTATGTAGGCGCTATTAAATGCTCTAACTTTTTTTACCAATATGCTTGCTGACCTCCTGTCAAAATTGCTTGTATTAAGAACAGCAACTGTCATAACATTACGTTATTAGAGCTTTTGTGCTTTCAATTGAAAGATCCCCCTCCCGCCTCAAGCACAGTTTAAGTTAAACAAACAGAGAAAAAAAAATCTTCGTTCTTTATGTACCGATTTTCATCTGTTGCCATTTTTTTACAGTACACCCTGTGAGGAAACTTTTAACATAATTCACACTCTCGAGATTACACCATTTTATCCCAAATCCCTTCTATATTCTCCCGCATCAATCCCCAAACATTTTGAAATAGATTTACAGTAGCCATACCTCTTTATTTTTATCGGTACCCCAAATACTTTTTCAGCACCTTATTTTCTTACTTCTTGTTCTCCTCATATCATCAAGCCGAAACATACCTCTATTTTCTTGTATATTACACCCTTATCTACAAAGTAGTCTTTATGCGTCGTATTCATCTGCCCTCTCGTGTTATGCTTCTCATGTTATACTTGATCTCGTATCCACCTTCCGCTTTTCTTTTCTTGAATTTGCTGTATTTTTGATCTCGCCCATACTTTATGACCTTGTCTCTCTTGGTCTCCTTGGTACGATTACATCTATCGTTTTTGCAATTAAGTACCTCGTCAAGGGAAGATCATCATTCAATTCTTTCATAATCTTCAATAAAATTTCATCATTATCTTCATCGTCTACAGACAGCCTACAGCAATTGGCTATAATTCCAAACTGTCGTTTGGCGATCCTTTCTCAAAGATGATGGTATCTATCATGAAAATTTCATGGCCATCAAGTTGCTGGTTTTATTATCACGTTGTTAATCCACTAGTCTGATGAACAGGCTAAACATAAATCAAAGTGAAGACCAGATACCTGATAAACGATACAGAATGATTTAAACTGTGGGAAGCTAAAAACGAAATCAGAACAAAAAGAAAAGCGAGCCCCCAATGCTTGTATAATTACCTGTTTAACCTGGTGGAATGACACTGGAAAGCTCCCTACACTTTTTTCTTGCGAGTTTGTGGGATATTGTGGGCAAAGAAAAAAAACAGAGGTGCTTTTTTTTTTAAAAAAACAAAAATAGAAGGAAATGAAGCGTTCAGTTTCTAGCCCATGGCGCTCCTTATGCTGTGACAGATAAATACACTTGTACGACTTGATGACGTGAAATGGCTCCAGCTACACCTCACGTCGTACATTCCACCTTTTCAATTTTTAGGTGCTATTTTTTAATCTTTCACCAAGAAGACATTCAACAAGCGTAAATCCAACAAAAGACAAAACCAGCAAAGGGAATAAAACGCTCCAACACCTTTTCGTTTCCATGGATAACGACAGTCACCAATAATTATGTGTTAACTTGACACAATTTTTTCCCACTCTTTTGTATTGACCACCCCACTACGCATGATGATCAGTGCTTAAAAGACAGAGACAGCACACATCAACAAAGGATGAACAGCTACAGAATAATAACATAAGCAAAGCAAAGGAAGATTAAAAGGAGTTCAGATTAAATCCAGATGAAGTTCCTGCAAAATTTTGGTCATAGCACCTCTATAACATATTTGTACTTAATTTATGTGTGATCAACAGGCATATACACACTAAATTATTTGAGGTGATTTATTTTCTGTGTTAAATGTGATTGTGATACGTATTCTTTTATTAAGCCGACTTAATCAAAGATTCGATATCAATTCTGGATGTAAACCCCATAACATGAAAGCTACCCATACATCAGTTTATTACTAAAGCATACGTATGGCTGAAGCAGAAGATTGGACATTTGTATATATACACTCGTGGAAAATGGCAGTAAGTTCATTTTATCATGTTATCTGGAAGTTTATTAATCTCTTTAAAGATCACTTGGTGATTATGACCGATGGATTACGTATTAATTTACCGTGATGTAAGAATAAAAATGGATCGCTTTTAATTTTGTGGATGGAGGAAACGGAAAACATACACGGGTAATTGGTGGTGAAGTAGTATATGAGAATGGTAAACTACACAAAGGAGCTACAAGGATGTTAATAGTCAAAACTGTCCGAAGTAAGCTAGTTTATGCATCACAAAAAAAAAAAGCAAAAATCATACGTGACAAAGTTCGGAATTCATTTTATTTGACACATGTATTAATCACCCGAATACAGAGTTTGTGTGTATAAATACTTGGGGAAAAGAGAGTGTCGTTACCTTTACATCGTCTACCTTGTCCTTTGTAAAGCAAGCCTTTTTTTTTATGGTATTATCAGTCTGATTATCAAGAGAGAAAAACCGGACCTTAAAGTCTTCTTGTCCTTTACGTCCTTCATCATTGTATCAGCTACATCAAATACAGTCGAGTTGGGTTTCCCCCCTTTTTTTTTACAACCGCAACAGCAAACAGTTGAACCTTATTTATATTTAAGTATTGTGCTTCTCTATAATCCATGGCTGTCACTAGGCTTAACCTTGATCCATTGCTTTCCAGTGTGATCACCATGAGAACTTGGTGGTTGATTGCTTCATCAAAGAAAAAACTGGTGTATTCTTTTTTCTCGACCCGGGAGTAGTCTTGAGAATTCAGCTACAGAGAGAAAAAAGAAAAGAAAAAAAAGGAACCCTCTACTCTTTGGGTCTTGCAATACCTTTAATTTCCTGCTCAGTACACTGCTACATAGTCGGACGCGAGCTTTTTTTGTTTTCATTACTGCTCAAAAGAATATTTTCTGTACTGAGCTCGTAAAGGTTCATTCTCAATAGGTTGAGCATGAGAAGTCCCCCCCCCCCATTTGTGGCGGTTCTTACTTTAATATAATAAGGGCAATTATATTTGCAATTGCCACGATTAATGTCCCAAAGCTATTTTCGAGGGCAAAGTTTTTAATAAAATTGGTAGTGATTTCTTTGGTGGCGTGGGTAGTAACGTTGGCAAAGGAGCAAACACTTTCAAAAGTTTGAAGTCAATATTTATTTTGATTTCTAGAGAAAAGAAGTTGTTTTATTTCTACAGAGTGTTAGACGCCTAAGGGACAGCCACTACAACATGTGATCTCTTAAAAACAGCCAATAGGTTTCCGATCCTAGGCTGTAACTACGTTCACATTGGCTGTATCTATGGGTGTAATTTTCGGCACAACATCTCTCCGGAGGGAAAGCGTAAAATAAACCCACTGTTTACATTGCGAAATATCCTTTTTTTTTTTTTTTTTTACTCTTACTACAATAAGGATAACAACGGCCATTCCCAAGCAAACTTTATTTTCACTCAATTTGTGAAAAAGAATAGCACACCCAGTGTAAGTACTAACTTAGAATTATACTATACTCAGGATAGCTATGTGGCCTATGTACAACCAGTAAATTAGACATGCTAGTTTAGAAAGTAGCAAGTCATGTCACACTTGTTTTTACTTTTTTGTAATATACTCCCCCCCATAAATTTTGGCTGGTAAAAACAAGTTTTGTTTTTGTTCCTAAAACATGAAGAATTTGCTTGGGAACGGCGATTATCAATCAAAATGACGTTCAAAGCACTTATTTCCCAGCCGTTTAGAAGAGACGCGGTGTGCTTATCATAAAAAGTCTAAAGAAAGCTTTAAAACCCTGACCTTAACATTGGTTGGTCATTGACGAAAGAGATTTCTATAAAAAAAAAAAAAAAAAAGCTGACAGAATACCGTATCGTAAAGCCTTACGTAGGTGCTATTGAATGCTCTATTTTTTTTTTTACAAACAGGCTTGCTGACCGCCTGTCAAAATTGCATGTATTAAGAACAGCAACTGTCATGATTTGGATTCAGTTATTAGAGCTTTTGTGCTTTCAATTGAAAGATCCCCCCGCCTCAAGCACAGTTTAAGTGAACCAAATAGAGAAAAGAAAACAAACAAAATCTTCGTTGTTTATATACCAATTTACATTTGTTGCCACTTTTCTATATTACACCCTGTGAGGAAACTTTTTACATAATTTGCCCTCTCGAGATTACACCCTTTTGGCCCATATCCCTTTTATATTCTCTCTCATCAATCTCCCAAACATTTTGAAATATATTTACAGTAGCCAAATATCTTTGATTTTATTGGTACCTCCATTACTTTTCAGCACATTATTTTCTTATTTCTTGTTCTCCTCATATCATCAAGCCGAAACATACCTCTATTTCCTTGTATAATACACCCTTATCCACAAAGTATTCCTTATGCGTCGTAATCATCTCCCATCTCGCGTCATACTTCTCATGTTATGCCTGATCTCGTATCCACCTTCTGTTTTTTTTTTCGTGGATTTGCTGTATTTTTGATCACACCAATACTTTCTGATCTTGTCTCTCTGGCTCTCGTTTGTCAGATTACACCTATTTACTTCTTGTTGCAAATAAAAACCTCTTAAAGTGAAGATCAGCATTCAATTCTTTCATAATCCTCAATGAAATTTCATCTTTATCTTCATCGTCTATAGACAGCCCACAGCAATTACTTATAATTCCGAACTATCGTTTGGCGATCCTTTCCCAAAGGTGACGGTAACTATCATGAGAATTTGTTGACCATCTATTGCAGTTATACGTTTTCTGAACTTAAGATCAAATTGCTGGTTTTATTATTACGGTGTTAATCCACTAGTCTGATCAACAGGCTAAACATAAAGCAAAGTGAAGGCCAAATACATGATAAACGGTACAAGATGTTTCAAACTTTGGGAAGCTAAAAACGAAATCAGAAAAAAAAATAGCGAGCCCCCATGCTTGTATAATTACCTGTTTAACCTGGTTTTAAAGGTGGCATGACATTGGAAAGCTTGCTACACTTTTTCTTGCGAGATTGTGGGAGAAGGTGGGGAAAGAAAAAAAAATAAAAGAGGTGCGTTTTTTTTTTTTTTTTTTTTTTTTTGTTAGCGCTTGAATAGTCAAGTCACAACAGGACATCCACCAGGCAGTCTTCAAATAATTTTACGAGCTTTTGAAAAACCTCTTTTATACCCAGAAATGGCTAAAGCAGAAGGACTTTGTTGTGTCAAGACACTTGACTGTCTATCATAGAAATGAAAACTGCAAACGTGCACTAATGATGTTCGTAAAAAGATCTAGCACGCTCTCTTTGGATGGTGGCCATTCCTTAGCCGTTTTTTTGCGCGGTGTACAAAAATAGAAGGAAATGCAGCGTTCAATCACTAACCCATGGCACTCCTGATGCTGTGGCCGATAAATACGCTTCTCCGACTTTATGACGTGAAACTGCTTCAGCTACACCTGCACCTCAGTTGGCATATTCTACCTTTTCAGTATTTGGAGAAAGTTCTAGGTGCTCATTTTTAAACATTCACCAAGAAGATATTCAACAAGCGTAAATTCAACAAAGGATAAGACCGACAAAGGAAAAGAAAATGCACCAATACCTTTTCCGTTCCCATGGATAACGACGTTTATCAATTAGTATGTGTTAAATCGACATAATTTGTTCCTCTCCTTTGTATTTATCCACCCCACTACGCATGATGGGTAGTGCTTAAAGAACATAATATCGACACTGGATGGACAGCTACACAACAACATAAGCAAAGCAAAGAAAGATTTGAAATTCCTGCAAAACTTTGGTCGTAGCACCTCTATGACATATTTAAACTTGAATTATGTGTGATCAACAGGCATATACACACTAGTAGGTTGTCAAGATATAAATCATTTGAGGTGAGTTATTCTTTGTGTTAAATGAGATTGTGATACTTACTCTTTAATAAAGCCCTCCTAATTAAAGATCGATCTCAATCCTGGATGTAAACCCTATAACATGAGAGCTACCCATACATCAATTTATTACTAAATCATGCATATGGCTGAAGCAGAAGACTAGACTTTTATATATACACTCGTGGAAGATGGCATGAATTTATTTTATCATGTTATCTGGAAGTTTATTTATCTCTTTAAAGATCACTTGGTGATTATGACCAATGGATTCCGTATTAATTTACCGTGATGTAAGAACAATAAAATGGATCGCTTTTAATTTAGTGGATGGAGGGAATGGAAAACATACACGGGAATTTGGTGGTAAAGTATTATATGAGAATAGTAAATACACACCACAAAGGAGCAACAGGGATGTTTATAGTCAAACTATCCGGTGTAAGCCAATTTGTGTATCACAAAAAAAAAGCAAAAATCATACGTGACGATGTTAGGAATTCATTTCATTTGACACATTATTCATCACCGAATACAGAGTTTGTGTGTATAACTATTGGGGGGGGGGAAGAGAGTATCGTTGCCTTTACATCTTCTACCATGTCCTTTGTAAATCATGCTTTTTTGTGTTTTTTTTTTCTTATGTTATTATCAGTCTGACTATCAAGGGAAAGAAACAGGGTCCTTAAAGTCTTCTTGTCCTTTACGTCCTTGATCATTGTATCAGCTACATCAAGTACAGTCGAGCTGGGTTTCCCCTTTTTTAAAAAAAACCTCAACAGCAAACAATCGAACCTTGTTTATATTTGAGTATTATGTTTCTCTATAATCCATTGCTGTCGCTAGGCTTAACCTTGATCGGTTGCCTTTCAGTGTGGTCACCATGAGAACCTGATGGTTGACTGCTTCATCAAAGAAAAAAACCGGGTGCATTCTTTTTTCTAAACCCGTGAGTAGTCGGGAATTCAGCTACTGAGAAAAAAAAAAAATAGGACACGCGTGAGCGGGGACAGAAAAAAGCAATTTCAGCGGTATTTGACGAGTCTCA